AGAACCTCCTCTGCCATTTCTGATTTTACTGTTGTTTCGCCACTCTGTCATCCTAGCCCATATAATACAAATCACTGCCCCCTGGAGCTACTTAGATGACTTGCCAGATAAAAAATAATAAGGAGTCATAAAACAAGAAAATAACAGATGAGCTGGATGCACACAATGCTTGGAAGATCAAGTTGAGTCATCTGGAATCTGAGCTGTATTTTAGGTGGACAGAAATTGACTAAAATATAAATACAGAGAACTGTTTATAGTTCTTCCTTGGTTTTCAATGTATTGAAATTATATTTTAACCTACCTTAATTTCCTTCTCTTAGGTAAGAGTGCTTCAGCTCAGCACTATTCAAACTCATGGAGTAAGTTTATACTTCTTAGATATCGAAATCAAAAGGACTTTATTTTGATTTAAATAGCAGTCTTATTTATTTATTTATTTATTTATTTATTTATTTATTTATTTATTTATTCATTCAATTTGTATGCCGCCCCTCTACGAAGACTCAGTCAATCAGGCATTTCTTGTATCGATAGATATAGATAGTGATAATGAAATTGTGTTTTAACAGTGATTCATTGCAGCCTTCCCAAGCTCACTGCCAGTGGACTTATAAAAATATATTGGTTACTGAAATTGGTTCATTGAAGCATACAAGGACAGATAGCAATGTGAATATTAAATTTCAGAAAACTCACACTTTAATCCATATAAACTGTGCTATATGAGACTGCGATCACTTGTAATCAGCAAAAAAAATGTTATTATTACTAAAATAATTCAGGACCTAAAGAGATACTCAATTCTGAATCCATTTTTGGGGTACCATATTTAGTTAAATGTCTTTGAAAAAGCAAGGGATGTGAAAGCATAAACAAATGCAACTATATCCATATTATTATTTGCTGAGGGAAAAGATCCTAAGGTATTGTCCTCTTTAAGGCAAAAATATGGGAGGCGATGGAGTTTAATTGGAGTATTCCTGCATTTTCCTAACATTTATTTAAGAATCCATGATTACAAAAAATTGACAAACACTCCTCTAGGGGGTTTGTGCGTAAATAAAAAATACTGCAGCCATTATGAAAATTGCATGGGTGTGTTGATGTCAGTTACTAGGAGTTAAATCTTGACTGACAGTGACTTTACAGTTTTATCTAAATTTACTGTATAATCATATAAGTCAGTTGAAATGATGATATCTCTCTTCCAAGAATAGTTTAGCTGTGAGCAAGTAGTGAATTAATCTATGAACTCATAAACTAGGTTCAATTTGAAAGAATGTCATGTAAAATGAGCAGGTTCTTAGACTCAGGACCAGGTGTATACTTTTTCTTTTTTTAGTTTTAAGTTTACAATAAATGATTTAAAGCTGTCTATATGCCAATCAGATCTCACTTTCCTCTTTAAGCAGAATGGACTTTGTGTCTTCTACACATCTTCCAGCCTTGCTCCAGAGTTTTGAAGGATCATCCATAGTAGATTCGAGGAACTCACACAGAATGCAAAGCAGAGTGGAGAAAGGAAAGTCCTGTTGTACCACCATTACCTTGGATGTAGCAATAGCAATAGCACTTAGATTTATATGCCGCTTCACAGTGATTTACAGCCCTCTAACAGAGAGGGTTTACAGAGTCAGCATATTGCCCGCAACAATTTGGGTCCTCATTTTACTGACCTCAGAAGGATGGAAGGTTGAGTCAACCTTGAGCTTGGTGAGATTTGAATTGCCAAATTGCAGCTGGCAATCAGCAGAAGTAGCCTGCAGTACTGCACTCTAACCACTGGCTCATTATTAAAACCATAAATATTTAAAGCCTGGCACCAATGTTAAGCTTCCATAACTAATTCATTGTTAAATCCTCCTCACTCTATCCCAGAGCTTGGGGTGGGGAAGTTATGTAACAGAAGTGTTAAATGGCTAAAGCTAGGGACATCCATCACTGGGCACACTGTCACATTCTGGACCAACTATTACTTCTAGATGGTCTTTAAGGCCGGTCTCATGTAGAACACATTGCGGTAAGCCAAACAGGAAGTGACCAAGACATGAGCAACCATGAACAAGGCCTCCCAGTCCAGGAAGGGGTGCAGTGTGACGTACTATAGGAATCTATGCAAAGGTGGCCCAGCCATGGATGCCACCTGCTCCTCAAGGAATCTAGGTGGATTCCCAAATGGTGCACCAATTCAGTCCAGGGAGTGCCACCCTGTGCAGAGTCAGAGATGAAATATCATCTTGGCTGGGTTGGGGGTAGGCAAAACCCAAGAGCCTCTCTGGCTTGCCGGGATTGATCCAAAGCCAGCTCCATCCCATCCAGACCCTTACAGCTTCAAGGCTGTTGACCAGAGCCGCCACAGCATCACCAGTTATATAACTGTATGTCATCAGCATAATACAAACAGGCAATCTCCCTCATATAGATATTTAAAAAGAAAGGGAAAGGTTCAATCCCTGAGCACCCCGTATTGCAGGAACCTAGGGCTTAGCATCTGTTCCTTCACTAACCTGATTAGAATTGGCTGCAGAGGAAGGAAGAGATCTTTCATAATGCAGTGCCTCCCACTCCCAATTTACAAAGCTGGTCCTGAAGCATAACATGGTTGACGATATCAAAAGCCACTGAGAGGTCCAGGAGGATCAGAATAGTTGCATCACTACCATTCTGAGCTCTCCAAAGGACACTGACAAGTGCAACTAATGCTGTTCCAATACAATGCCCCAGACTGAACAAGGTCCAAATAATTCACTTCATCTTGGGCTCTTTGTAACTGTGCACCAACCACCCAGTATGAGTAATTTGTTCCTCTAATTTGAACTACTATATTCCAGGGGTGGGTTCTACTTACCTTTCCTACCAGTTCGCAACGGGGCCATGCGTGTGCATGCGCAGAAGCTTCTGCACATGCACAGAAGCGTTCTGATGACATCGGGGTCGGTGGGCAGAGCCTCCTGCTGGTTTTACTACCGGTTCTATAGAACCGGTGCGAACCAGGGGCAACCCACCACTGCTATATTCCTCTAATATTTAGTACGTACTTATTAAGTCCAGTAGTAATATAACTCTCAGTAAACATATTGGGGAATACAAATGGAAGGATGACCTCATTTCCTATTTATGGCTTCCTACAAACCTGTTTTTGACCACCATGAGAATAAAATATGTAGAATATAGTCTCAGCAGGGCTTTCCCGGAGTATTTTTAAGCCCAACCAAAGCACTGTTTTGTTCTAGGTTGAGAAAGTATTTATAAACCCAGCATGTTTTCAAAGAAGGAAAAGTGTTTCATATTGATCATGGCTTTTGATATGAAGTGCAAAACTGAATAGGTAGCTAAACTTAATTGGTCTTCTGCACTGGGAGGAGCATGGATGGCAATCTCCAGCCTGCATGTGTGACGTCCACTACGACATGACCTCTTTTACTCCTCATCATACTGCTAATTTCAACAGTTCAACGGTTTAAAGTTTGGTTTCATTTTTTGTTTAAGGCAGGTATCTTTCTAATATTCAGGAGCAAATTCATATTGTAAGGCATCTAATGGCTTTTTAATTTTTTTTAACCTTTAGCATGGATTGCAGACTATAAACTGCATAACATTAGGTTTAAAAAAATTAACCTAATGTTATGCAGTTTATAGTCTGCAATCCATGCTTCATCCAATTATTTTCCTATAATATATATATTCTCCTATAATATATAATAGAGCCCTGGTGGCGCAGCAGACTAAAGTACAGTTATTAGCATCAGCTGCCTGCAATTACTGCAAGTTCAAATCTCACCAGGCTCAAGGTTGATTCAGCCTTCCATCCTTTCTAAGGTAGGTAAAATGAGGACCCAGACTGTGGGGGCAATAAGCTGACTTTGTATAAAAATATACAAAAGTATGAAGGCTATTGCTTAACGCATTGTAAGCCGGCCTGAGTCTCCAGAGAAGGGCGGCATATAAATCAAACCAAAAAAAACAAATATATATACATACATACATACATACATACATACATATATATATATATATATATATTATTTTTAAAAAATCATATAACAACACTGTTTGAAGGCTTTTTGATGGCTGGTAAATATGTCTAATTGATATATTCTGATTTGTGTTTTGGATGAATCAATTCAGGATCAGGAGGTATCTTGGATATGTGATTCAGCAGTTAGAGAGATTCTTTGGACTCTGAAGAGGCTCCGCTTTGCATGACAATTAATTGTGCTCCTCATGAATTAATTAGCTTAGAGGACAGCAAGTATAAACCTCAGATTTTGAGTGCTATTCTAAGTTTTTGATTTTTAGGCAAAGTGGAGGTCCTGATCTCAGTCAATAACAACATCAATTCAGTTTTATCAGCAGTCTTGGTAAGTGTTAACAAGAGTACAAAAATAACATTATCTTATGAATGGAGTTATAATGTTACTTGTGTCACCCCGTTGCAAACCTATATCAATTTTGACCACAAAGGTATAATCCATACATCATCATTTACATTTGCTAATAGTCTAATAGTTAAAGCAGTTCAGATCCTACTCATATCACTCCTGCTGCTTTTAAAACTGAACACCAGAGAATGTTCTACAATGTTCTATAAATACCCCAATTATGTCTTCCAGTTCAGTTATAGATCCATTTTCATCATTCCTCGTATTTAAAAGAATTTGCTAGGATTTGATCTATAGACTATACCCAAAAGATAAAACCTACTTTTATGTACCCAATAATTCCATTTTCTGTAGGAAAACACAAAACAAGTATCAGATGAAGGCAATTATGCCTATTTGGAACCCCCAATTGTATCCAAGTTACACAGGGAAGGAAAGAGGGAATTTTTTAAGCAAATGGGTGAATGTTCAAAACTGGACTCTTCTCAATTTTAAGAGTGACTTCTCTTTTCAGCTGTGTCACAGTCTGTATTATCATTGTCATCAAAAGGGGGTGTGTATAAGAACCTGAAAAACCAAACAGACCTGTCTGGAAAGTGTTCCATATATCGGAGAACTGCAGGTGGCCCTTCTCACAGTTTACACCTCACTGAGCCGGAAAACCTTTTGGCTTTGAAGATTACTTTCGGATCTAACCTTTCCTTGAGAAGAAAACAAGTGCTCCCAGCTGCACGTAAGCTTCATTTACTTCTTCATAAGGGCTCTTAAGGAAAGTCCCGTGCTCCCAATGCTGAATGATGTATGTTGTAGAAGTATATTGGCATGGTTTTGTATTAGTCCTTAACATTGCTCTCTCTCACGGGAAAAACACAGCTTGCAAATGTGAGTGTGACACTCAATCTAATGTTTAGAGAATTGTAATTTATGTCCACTTTCTAGCTATTAGGTTCCATGGAATATAGTGAGATTTTTCTACCAAAAATGTGTCGGTGCCTTTAGACTATAAACATTGACATTGACCTCTTGACATTGGTTCCCAAAACTGTTTGTTATTGGCTTTGGTTTTTGTTCTTTGTACTTCTCAAAAATCAGTAAGATAAAGAATGTCATCAATGCCAAAACTGTAAAATAATCCTCTATTCCCACTATTGATTCTAGTAGTATTTTTTTAAAAAATTTGGTTATATGAAGAAAAGCTTCTGGGGCTATAGACATGTTGTATATTATTATTAATTTGTTTTCTATATTTTAACCCAATTTATGGAGATTTGAGATGTACACTGCTCAGAATTGTTTATTACTGGAGTGATATATAACCCTAGTAAAGTTTTAAAAAACTGAAATTATAAATAAATATATCCATATGGGCACTTTTAAGGAATAATATAACAGTTATCAGATTAGTATGCATAGAGGACATTTTTGTATAATATATGTTGTACTTCTGGGGCCCCTAGTGGCTGTTAGTATTAAGAAATCTTACTTAAAAATCTTTAAATCTTTCTTACAAAATTATTGCCACCTACTAAATTGGAAGACATTTTATTAGCCAAGTTAATAGAATTAATCATTTGGTAATTGTACATAAATATATATCATTTCTGATTAATGTAATGGGCTATATTTAAAAGATATGATTGATTTATTAAAATCAGTAAGTCATTGCAATACTGTGACTGAATTAAGTTAACAGTTAACATCTGTTAATTCCACGTAGTCATTTTTTCTAATATCGAATAATATATTATTATACCCCCTCTTTTAAAATTCTAATTTCTTTTATAACTCTTTCAAAATTAGTTTCTAAAATTCTGCTAAACAAATTCCCACAAAAGGAAAAAAAAATGTGATCAGATAGATATAACTATAGCTACAGAGAATATGACTTCGTTTCATATAAATTAACTCTGTATGTATGTAAGTAATTGGTTTCACTTCTCATCTGATTCATTGTCTTCTTTCTGAGTGGTTTTCCAAGCAATGAATTTAAATAAATACTGAGTGTGAGGCAAAAAAAAAAAAATAATGTAGGAAACTTTATGCTTCTTTAGTTCACGATCAGTAAACCTATTTTGTCCCTTTTACTCTGAATACTTTTACACAGTTGTCATCATTAACTTTTTTCCAACAACTATCTTTTTAGAAAATGTTGGGAGTCAAGAGGGAAAATCTGTATGTATATATGTATATGTAAGTGTGTACACACACACACACACAAACACTCTCTTCCATTTTGTTCAAATGTCTTGTTACCTGTTATCTTTCTTGGCCATATTTGAGGTGTTATTTACAAAACATTAAGGTTTTGATAATGTACAGGAAAGAATGAAGCTATAATGAAAGAGATTTCATTGTAATAACACTGGTTATTATTGTCAATTAGTATTCTTTTTAAAGTTTCAGTCACAAAAACTTTGTGATGCTGCTCCATTTTTGTGTTTTAAAAAGGGAAACAATAATAGTTGGTACCAAATTTATTCTTATTTACAATAAAGCTGTCTGAAATCAATATGTTTTTACATTAGTCAAATCTAGTACATGATTATCTGATTTTGATGTAGAGAAAGATTGGGATCCAACAATACAAATGTGGGTATCAGCACATTTTCTGCTCTTATTAAAATTAATTTCTTTTTGACTTTATCCAAAATTTATCTATAAATGAAAATTATATCGCTGTTAAGTGTTTCTAATTTTTCTTCTCCCCACCTTCCTTATTAGCATGTAATAGAATTAGAGATTCAGGTTTAAATTCATTTTATCCACATACATAATACACACACATGTATCATTTTATTTATTTGTTTAACTTATTAGAACTTTTTGTCTTACATTTTATGTGTTGATTTCTACTCATGCAGTAGAATTTTCACTTTCTACCAATGGTATTCAACTATGGAGGTTCTCCCTCTCTCAATTTTTATTTTAAAGAAAATGGACAGATCTTTCATCATGGATAGTTCATAGTTGGTTTTCCTGCACTTTGCAGAGGTTGAGATTAGATGCTCCATTCATCCCTTCCAAATATATAATTTTATGATTCTATTGTTTTCCTATTTCCTGTGGCCAGTCAATCCCACAAATTGGTTCTGGGATGTTCCCCAGCTATTATTACATATTGGATAAAAGCCTGTGGTCAACCATAGGAAAGAAAGGACTGATCGATGCCATTCCATCATTGGGAGATGCTTTTAGATACATCACTATGGACTATCCATATATTCGGTCAAGCCTAAGAATTCAGTAGATCAGAATACCATTGACATTTTGATCACTTAGACCACTTCAGTTCTACAGATCACTTAATTAATCACTTAATTAAACTGAGGAGCAGTTTGGTCTAGTGCTGTGAGGGCGAACCTATGGCACATGTGCTCTCTGTGGGCATGCAAGCCATGGCGCATGTGCGCAAATTTCCCACTGGCCAATTGGTCGTCAGGTCTCTGACGTGCATTCACGGGAGGGCAGGGTCCATGCAGGGAGGGCGCGTGTGCATGCATGGGGGTATGTGGTGCTTGCACAGGGGCTGCGCACGCATTGCATTTTGGGGGTTCGGGCGCACATGCACACATTCGTGTGCACATTTTGGGACTCGATCCAGAAAAGGTTAGCCATCACTGGTCTAGTGGTTAAAGGACCAGGCTAGAAAATGGGAAAGTGGAGTTCTAGTCCTGTGTTAGGCCTCAAAGCCAACTGGCTTTGATTCATTCTCTCTTGAGGTTGTTATTGTGGGGGAAATAAGGGAAAGAAGGTGAATTGAAAATATTCATTGTCCCGAATTATTTGTAAATAAATAAATAAATAAATCAACCACAGTGTGACTAAGAGCATATGACGGCCATGGCCAGGAGGGCTTTTTATCAGGTTCACCTGATTAGCAAGTTGTGGCCCTTTCTGGACCGGGACGCCTTGCGCACGGTCACTCACGCCCTGGTCACCTCCCGGCTGGACTATTGTAATGCTCTCTACATGGGGCTCCTCTTGAAGAGCACTTGGAGGCTCCAACTGGTCCAGAATGCGACCGCGCGGGTGGTTATGGGCGTGACTCGTTATGCCCATGTGGTTACCACCTTTAAAGTGCTCCATGGCGTAGGACTCGGGTACCTTCGAGACCGACTTCTGCCACCAGTAGCCTCCCACCGGCCAGTCTGCTCCCACAGAGAGGGGCTCCTCAGGGTGCCATCGGCGAAGATATGTTGACTGGCAACACCCAGGGGGAGGGCCTTCTCTGTGGGAACTCCTGCCCTATGGAATGAAGTGCCCCCGGAATTGCGCAAGATCTCCAACCTCCATGTATTTCGCTGTGCCCTCAAGACCCTGCTGTTCCGCCAGGCCGGGCTATCAAAGTAAATGATTTTAAATTGGGTGTTTTAAATTTCTGGGTTTTAATTTAGGCCGAAATTATTTAATAATTTTAATTATTTTTTAATTGATATCTGTATATTTTTGTGTTTTAATAGGCTGTACACCGCCCTGAGTCCTTCGGGAGAAGGGCGATATAGAAATAAAATTATTATTATTATTATTATTATTATTATTATTATTATTATTATTATTATTATTATTATTATTAGTAGTAGTAGTAGTAGTAGTAGTAGTAGTAACTAAATTGATTAGGATGGTGAGGATAATGATAAAATACACATTGCCGCATACAATTTAGTAGTGAAAATTCTATTCTGATGACTGCAAACCTTTAAAATGTAAGTATTAGATGCTAGCAAAACAGAGAATTTGTGGGAAAGGAAAGAAAAAGGTGTCACCTTTGTCCTATTCAGCCGGGAAGTATTAGCTAGGTTTTGTGGATTTATTTTGGTTCACCTTGTTTTCTGCACAAGGTGTTATTTTCAAATCTTAATTCATGGAATACAGAGATGTGTTAATCCTTTAATTACAACAAAATGCCAACTCTACAAAGAATAGCATAATAACTTATGCCATTGGTGAGCATTTTTTGCTAAACAGGACTTGATAAAGTCACCTTGAAAAGACACTTAGATTCTTTCAGATAGTTGGAAGGTAACAATTATGATTATTAAACTGAGGTTTTTAATTAAATATTAATCTGAGAGACAAAAATCTCCACAAAGTGAATTTAACATTTCATTTTAAATAAGAAAACATTTGGAGAAGTATCAGAGCAGAGAAAGTAGCTATTTTGAGGAAGAATGCCTCTGGGAGAAAACAGTTCCCTCTTTTGTTGCCATCAATCAAATTTTGGATTGTTTCTATAGTGCCATCAACTGTCCACTGCAGGTTGATCAAAGCAACAAAAAGAATTGACAAACGTCTAGTCCAATCTTACTAAGAATGGATCAGTGCATGACTTCTTTGCTCAACGCTACTTACAGTATAATTGTTAAATGTAAATACTATATTTGGGAGTTTCTGTTTCTGTCACTATTGTTAACATGATATGTGTTATTGTGTTATGATATTAAAACAAATAATTAAAGATGAACAAATGATATGAATAATCATATAATATTTTAGAATGATGCTGGACTCCGTTAGCCATAATACCTTCCTGCCAAACACAATGATGTGTGAATCCTTGACATCATGGTCAGATGTATTTGGAATAGTGGATGAACAGTACTCACTATTTGAACATCAAACAGGTGGGTAGACTAGACATCTTATAAAAATTAAAAATTAATGAAAACTAATAAAATAAATGCCTTCATCTTATGATATTCTCAGAAAGGTATTATCAGATTCGTTACACAATTAGTTTCTTGCTTCCTAAACATTTTTTGTTTGCCACTTAATATCTGTCACCTTTACAATTCCATTGCCATTTGTGAATATAAAACAGCCCCAGAGTGTACTAAAATATTTCAGGCCAATTCAGGAATAAAGAACTCTTTTGGATATGTTTTTCAATTTCTATGACTTGAATGCTTCTTCTAAGGATGGGGAAGATATTTGTTTAGTTGCCTAACTTCCTGCTATTTAGGAAAATAAAGATATCTGTGTAAAAAAAAGTTAATCTGATTAGCTATAAGTCATTAAAATATCCATAGACTCTACCAAAAACCAAGGGTTTATAGCATGTCATTTTGCGTCATAATAAAGAAACCCAAAACAGTATTTCTAAAATTTAAATATGGCAAATATTGTTCTCTGGGGTATGATTCCCCAACATAGTTTATGGGTTGCAGTTTAAAAAACAAAGGTTCAGACCAATTTCTAACACTTAGTTTTGGCAGCAGTATCCAATGTTCCTCAAAATTAATAAATAGTAGAAATATGATCATCCAGTTGATAATACTTGGGTAGCAGATTCTGTTGAAAATCTTAGTTTGGGCATGTACACATTCCATTAGACTCAGATATTAAACCATTGTGCAGATGATAAAAATAATGCAATAGAATTTATTCTCATTATTTCTTTGCAACACAAGAGTGATCATCCTTTACAGCCCTTACACTGCTCACAGAACTTCCACTGAATTTCAGTAGCAAACTATAAATACATTATTTTGACAGGAAACAAGTGTGTAGAGCATTTCTTGCACACCTAATAATATACTATCCCTTAAACAAACAAACTGACAATCCAAAAATCCCAGCTGTTCCAACTTTGAAGTCTTATCCAACCCGAAAAAATAGTCCATCTATATTGTACAACTTCATCCCAGAGAAGACATTTTCACAACACACTGAAGGTATGTTCAAGAGAAGTGTAAAGGAATGGAAGAAAAAAAATTCATTGTGCAAATCAAGTCTGTTTGTATAACATTAATTTAACCCATTACTATATTTTTGTATAGATTCTTGTGAGGAGAGGAAGAATTTAAAAATCCAGCAACAACAAAAAGAAAAGAAAAACAAAAAAGCACCTATCAATTTTGTCCCTCATGACTGCCAAAATTAGTTTAGAAACTAAAGAACATGGAGTCCGTCCCTCTCTCTCTCTCCGTCCCTTTCTCTCTCACACACACACACACAAACACACACACAAACTTTCTCGTTTCTATTGGTAAATATTACTGGGTTAATAAATGTTGTTACATAAGGCCACAAAGATTGCACTGGTAGATTCAAACACAGATTATTTTGTTTGTTATTTTGTCTCCAGCTCTGATACTGGATAAATAACTCATGACTTAAGAAACAGGAATGTGCTTAGTCTTTCAACAGAAGTTTTGATCAAAACATAGAAGTCAGGAGAAAGAAGGAAAGAAGAAGACCAATGTTATCATCTGGACAGAGCTTTGAAAGAAGCTCATGTGTAGAATGTGATGGAAACCAGTCTCTTGCCTTAATTATACATCCAAAAATTAAGGCAATTATTTGATTGCTTCCAACATTTCATTTAAATATTTTTATCAGAGATCTAGTGTCCATTTGCTAAATTTTCATGTTTACCTTTTTTTGTTTTTGTGGGCTGTCTTATGAGCTGTACAACTCAGCAAATAATTTTTAAAGCGTGAACTATCCATTATTACAAAAGATTGAAGGTTATACTAATAAAATAGTCTGAAAATATATAACTGTGCCAGTGTTAACTCCTTTCTATCTTGTTGCATTTCCTCCATTCTATGTCTCGTAACTTTTTGTACAGTCTTCATCTTCCACTTCATATCAACCCAAAGAGAAATTCCCAGTTTAGGAACAATCATCCTTCTATCTCATAAATTGGTATATTGTCACTAATATTATACAATAATGTAATAGATGGCATTGAAAGCTTGAACTGACATTAAATAACATTTGGTAGCGTGGCTTCCATTCCTAACTATAATGATGGCAAAATGATTAAAAGTGCAATGTGAAGTCACCATGCAAGCTCTATCCTTTCATTCTCATATTGCAATGTTAATGCAAATATTGAGTATGCTTTGCATCATGACATTTTGTTGTTATGCATGCTTTTTGTTCTGTTGCCCACATCCTTGCAGACATTTATGGCTTCAGAAGTTGATCTGAAGTTCTTCATTAAAGTAAACAATTAAGTTGTTCAAACTTTAACTACTGGATTTATTTTCTCTCATCATATTGTGACAGCTTGTGATTCGTCCTGGACTTCTATGCATCCAGAATACTGGACAAGACACAACGTCTGTGAGTGGCTACAGTTTTGCTGTGATCAATACAAACTGGATGCTAATTGCATTTCCTTTTCCCACTTCAACATAAATGGTCACCAGCTCTGTTGTATGACCCAAGAAGATTTTTTAAATGCTGCTGGAATTTGTGGTGAATACCTCTACTTCATACTCCAAAACATCAAGACTCGTGGTCAGTGTGCCAAACATTTACTCAGAATATTACTATTTCTTTTGGGGTGTAACGCTCAGCCTTATGCAAAGTATTGAATTGGCAGCCAGCGAGACTGCCATATGATGCTATATCACAATCCAACAGACATATCCAAAGAAAGACAGACCAAGATTAAAAATAAGACTGAAACAATTTAGAAACTCATTAAATCAAATTAATCTTTGCAAAACTAGACCAAGAGATAAGATAGGGTGAAAGAGAAATGAAGAACCAAAAAAGGCACCCAAAAGCAAGATGAGATTAAAACAAGGAAGAAATGTAGAAAAGAGTAAATTCTGACTCATGGGTCTAACCAGAAATGTTCGTGGGAGAAGGGGAACGTTTAAAAAGTTAAAATTGATTCTTTTGACCCCATCTAGGGGCAGCCCTTAGACTAATCCAGACTGAGAGACTAGGTCCCTCCTCAGAATCTTAGATCTCTTCTCTAGCAAGAGCTGTGATTTTAATAAATACAAGCTGGAGCATCTGTAGGTGTGTCTCAGCCTTTTGCACCATTTTTAAGAAGAAATTGTAGCACAGAACAATCTGTTCACATCAGAAATTTTTTTTTTTTTTTAAATATATTGCAATGGTACAGTAAGGTATTTTTATTATATACAATAATACTGTAATCCATTTTTGCTTGTTTTTATAGGCATCTCCTTCTTTCAGGACAATGAAGATACAAAGTCATCTGAAAAAGACTGTAAGGGAAAGTTCTAAAGTTTGTAATAAAATTGTTATCATAAATGAATATTTTAGCTGGGGTTAGGGTTAGGGTTCTCTCAGCAGTAGCATTAGTAGTAGTTTACTCTCATTTGTTCCGGCTGCACAAGAACAGTGAGAGCAACATACCCCACCAATGATGTCACCAAGCAATGCTATGGCTGTATAAATTACAGATTTATGTGGAAATGTCATGACATACATATCAAAATTTGCCCCAAAGACACCCATGGTCATAATTAGTGACATGTTTCTTTGTTTCCTTTCAGAGGAAACAATTATTGAATCATGAGCCATCTTCTGCATTCTTCGACCAAAATTCCTATTCAAAATCATTGCAGAATGAAGAGCCTTGATAGCTTTTTACCAAAATAATAATAATAAAAAGCCATCTCTAAATAAGATCTAGCCTCCCATCAACCATCTAACCTTAGAGCTTTTGTTCTGAGTATGAGATTTTTGTTTTGGACCAGTTGGTAGCAGAGCAACATCAAGTATGATTAAATGCTATGTTCCTCCTTAATCATTTTCAGTTTGGTTTGTAACTGATTTTGGAATGGAAGCACAGTTGATAGTGGTAGGTAGGAGATTTCTACAAGGAAAGGAAACTGAATGAAACTGAAATGGGAAGCGTTTCCTCAATCACCTGATTGAATTCATTAGCTCCCAGTACTTCTGACTGTGTCATTCCTCCTATCCACTGAAAAATTAGAAAGAATGTTAACTCGTATCCTCAGATAAATATATTTTCCCTTGATAGGGCACAAAATTGTCAAAATAGTGTCAGGTAGGCTTAGAATTCTCACCAAAGTTTTTTAATATCTACATTAAATATCCATAAGTGGAGCTTTAGAGAGGAGTACTGTCACAGTGCCAAAGAATTTAGATCTATATCTCATAAATTAAAGATCTAAGCCTGACAGATTAGAATTTAAGCAATGTTTGGAACTGTGATCAAATAATCTAAGATAAACAGACAGTTGAAATAAAAAAAAAAGTTAGATGTGATTTTAATTGGAAATCCCATTACATAATCGATTGTTTTAGCAAGTTTCTGCCCTCAACACACATTATGACTTTTCTAATGATTAATAAAATGCAAGAAAAAGCCATCCACACAAGTTTACAGTATTGTTCTTATGTTAGATTCTGCCTTACTTTTAAATCAGTAGATAGTGTGGTAAAAAAATAACACTTTTCTTACAATTAAGTCCTATATTCAAAGATTTATCCTCCTTGAACTTTTGTGATTCTAAGTGCATTTTCCATATTAGATTACTGTAATACATGTTTTATGGTGAAACTTTTACATGGTTTACACAGAAGCCTATTGACTAAATATAGGTACTATTTTGAATACTTCTTTGCATTTAAAAGCTGCAAATTAAATGTTAATAGCAATAGATTATCATTATTCAAGTGGGAATTTAATCTTTCAGTCCCCACTATGGTCCTAATGAAAATTAATTCCTCCAGACATGGAATTTGCATTGGAAGAAAAATTCCACTGTAAATTTTAAGTGTTGCTTCTTCTTACTTCCATTGGCTGTCATCTAAATCAGGGGTCTCCAACTTGGCAACTTTAAGATTTGTGGACTTCAACTCCCAGAATTCGTCAGCCAGCTTTGCTGAAGTCCACAAGTCTTAAAGTTGCCAAGGTTGGAGACCCCTGATCTAAATAATTGTCACCTTCCTCTTTCTGATTTCTGCTGTTTCATTTTTTAAAATGCGCACTAGTTCCCTTTTATCTTTTTTCTACATTCAGCCTCTATCAAGGTCCTAATTATCTGCCATTAATTATACAAGACATTTGATACTAAAAGCAAGAGATATAACCCATTTTGGAAGTTATAGAAGTATTTCCTGGTGAAACTGAAGCAGATATTCCAGTCTTAAGAGGTGGTGGACTGATAAGAATATATTCCTTGTAGAGATTCTCCACAGAATGATTGTTTTTTTGAGAGTGATTGGTAGCATTTTTAAGGGTTTTTTTAAAAAATTCTGCTGTTATTGCTTTTTGAAAGTTTATTTCTTTGCTATCTTTGTCATTTGTTTTCAGCAGGAAATGATATTCAATAAGTAAATGGGACAATTCTTGCATGTGATTTGCATGGATTTGGTAACATGCAAGTCTGACTCAACTCCAAACTCAGTGTAATTATAAGTCCATTTTGATAGTTTCAGGTTGTGTAAGTCTCCCAGAGGTCAGATGTGTATCTTTACTAAACAGTTGGCTATGTGCATCCTGCAAGACCAAGAAATGCAAGGAAATCAAGGCTGTATCATTGTTTAACTTAGCTTGGGCACTTAGCAGCAATAAGATCACTGATTAACCAGCCAATTTTGCCCTCGTTCAGTGAGCTCCTTTGCCTCATATTTATTATGCTCTTTGATCATAGTTTTTTTCTCAGATGATTATGGTCCATGACTATCATTCTGGAGCAAGTTATAACATGAAGTACTATTTACCTAGAGATGATATCAGGGCACACTGAGTTTTCTGGTAATCATCTTTTAGATCATTCACACTTGACCAATTATGATCTTTTGAGGACTTCCAGTGGTTATTGATGCCATTTCAGCTAATTATCCAATTTGGAGTTAATCATTATCTTTTATGATAAAGTTGGGTTTTTAATTCTAAGAAAAGCCTCAGACCTATACTGGTTTAGTGTTCCATAGAGTTTCAATCAGAGAACATGAAGACTTCTTTAAATATCACTAAAATTCATTAGAATTATTTACATTTATTTTTTTAAAAAATATATCTTTCAGATAATGATAAGGCATGTTTGAGAACAGGTGGCATCAAGAGTCAAGATTTTCAAGGTCACAGTAGAACAAGTAGGTATATTTCTGACATCTAAAATCTTATGTATAAGTATCATAGAATTATTAATACACACAAGCAAACATACATATACAATATATACATATTACCAAGAAATCTCTTTACTCACAAAAGTGACTAAAGTTCAGGAAGCTCATCAATAATATATCCTGCTTGGAGCTTTGTGGATTATGCTACTTGTCAAATGTGCTATTTTTAAAATTAATTTTGCAATTTAGCCTCAAACATGTCTAAGGTCGGTAGATTCCTCACCTTATTATAACCTCAAGTAATGACTCTGCATTTCTGATCAGATTTTTAAGCAAGTCTGGAAAGTAAAAAGAGGTCAGACAGTATTTGCTCCTTAGATTACCACATCATCCTTAACTTCCTGCTACCCCAACTTGTGTGATGTCAGCAAAGATGATTCAAATACACTCATAGTTTGTCTTCTTTTTTAATTGTTTGTTTTCTGGTACAATGCAGGATGATATGCAGAATTCCTATACAAGAAATGCCCAAACTATCTGAATCCTAGGTGCTATGGGAATTAGTCAAACTGTTATATGTAACGAACATCTGAGGAAGATGGGTAGTTAAGAAATATGAAATATAAATAAATAAATAAACAAATAAACAAATAAGTAAGTAAATAAAGTAAAATAAGTTAGTTAAATAAATAAATAAATAAATAAAATAGAACTATTGAGAAACAAAGAGGGACGTGGTGGCTCAGTGGCTAAGACACTGAGCTTGTCAATCAAAAGGTTGGCAGTTCAGTGGTTCGAATCCCTAGTGCTGCATAATGGGGTGAGCTCCTGTTACTTGTTCCAGCTTCTGCCAACCTAGCAGTTTGAAAGCATGTAAAAAATGCAAGTAGAAAAATAGGGACCACCTTTGGTGGGAAGGTAACAGCGTTCCGTGCACCTTTGGCATTTAGTTATGCCAGTCACATGACCATGGAGACATTTTCAGACAGCGCTGGCTCTTCGGCTTTGAAACGGAGATGAGCACCGCCCCCTAAAGTTGGGAACGACTAGCACATATGTGCAAGGGGAACCTTTACCTTTACCTATTGAGGAACAAGAAGTGAAACCCAATGGGGAAGGGAGGGAGGGAGGGAGGAAGGGAGGGAGGAAGGGAGGAAGGGAGGAAGGGAGGAAGGAAGGAAGGAAGGAAGGAAGGAAGGAAGGAAGGAAGGAAGGAAAGTTAGGATGGAAAAAAGCTTCAGGAAACAAGAAGATCCTTACAAAACACAATGAAAAGATAATCATGCTCAATTTTGGAAAGGGATGGAATTAAATTTCCTGAAACAAGAATTATTGGATGGGTCTCTCATAATCTGGAGAAACATCATTATATCAGTCTACCACCAAAAATGTCTTCCAGAACAAGAGATATTTTTTTTGAAAGAGAAAGCAGCTTATTATCTAAAGCCATTTCTACTCTTTTTAGACACATAGACATTAGGCCTTTCAGTTTTGCCAATCAGGAGGTCACACATTAATTCTCTTGACTGTCTTCATTTGAGATGGCAGGAAGATAACTTTTTTAAAAAAAGAAATCCATCCAGGGGGTTTGACATGATTTAAAAATGGCAGGTGATTGACTACCCTGGTCCTAGTTATGACTGCTATGTTTATACACTGATGAAAACTTCATTGCACATGTAGTGGCTTTTTCTTTCAAAGTTTGTTTGCTTGATACTTTCCTATATTGTAAAGCAAAGGAATTTGATATCAGTGTCATCCAATTGGTTTTGTTTCCTGACTATGCATAACCATTGGTGGCAGCCTATGCTGGACTGCTTTACTACCATTACTTTCGTCTTCGGTACATCATTGTTCTACAATCCAGATAGCATTTTCTTAGCATCTGATAATTCATCATAGAAAAGCTTTTCTTGCCTCTATTCACTTTCATTCTTGAAGGTCTGCAGAGTTCTCACTTGTGGGAGTTTGTACGAGATCTTCTCTTGTCCCCTGAAGAGAATTCCGGTATCCTTGAATGGGAAGACAGAGACCAAGGCGTCTTTCGTGTTATCAAATCTGATGCTCTGGCAAAGATGTGGGGACAAAGGAAAAAAAATGACAGAATGACATATGAAAAACTAAGCAGAGCACTCCGGTAAGTTAATATTTTAAGAAGATATATCTAATGCAGGTAAAAACTGGGCATTTTGAATATGGTATAATAGATTTATGCAACCTTCTTTGGTTTCTAGTCATTTCCAGACCCAATTCGAGCACCTTCATTGTTTGTTTGTTTGTTTATATTACATATTTCTTAACTGCCCATCTCCCTCAGATATATTAGCCTATAAGGAGCTTTCACCGTATCTAAAGAACCGCTCTTCCAATTTTTTTTTATTGTACACTAAAATCATCTTTAGAGACTCTGTTCTTAGTGTCCTCCTAAGGGTTTTTTTTAAAAAAAAATATTAAGGTTTATTATTTAGCCTCGGTGGTGCAGCGGACTAAAGTGCTGTTAAATGCTAGCACTTAGCTGCCAGCTGCCTGCAATTAGTGCAAGAATCTCACCAGGCTCAAGGTTGACTCAGCCTTCCATCCTTTCAAGGTAGGTAAATTGAGGACCCGGATTGTGGGGGCAATAAGCCAACTTTGCATAGAACAATACCGCTTAGGGGAGGCCGAAAGCCCTAATAAGCAGGTATATACAAAAAAGTATGCAGGCTATTGCTATAATGCATTGTAAGCTGCCCTGAGTCTACAGAGAAGGGCGGCATATAAATTGGATAAATAAATAAATAAATAAATAGCATGAAATATAATGAAAATAAAAATTAAAAGGGGGGGAAGTCAATGAGGGGAAAAAAGAAGAAAAAAGGTGACTTCTGACTCTTTCCAACACAGTAAAATACTAATTCAACTTTTTACTTTATCAATAATTATTATAAGCCGGTTCTAAAACTACACAATTATTAAATCATCAAACTAAATTCTGATTTAGTTTTCTTTCTATTTCAAGCATAAAAACCGCAAGCAATATTCCAATAGAAACAAGACCAAATCAAACTTCTTTGTTTAAAACATTTTACATTGCCATTTTAACCAAATCCATTTTTTTCTTTTTTTCCCCTCTGGTTGTGGGAAGTGACACATACAAGTAGCCATCGACTTACAACCACAATTGAGCCAAAAATTTCTGTTGCTAAGCGAGATATTTGTTAAGTGAGTTTTTATGACCTTTCTTGCCACAGTTGTAAAGTGAATCATTGCAGTTGTTAGTAACATGGTTGTTAAGTGAATCTGGCTTCTCAATTGACCCTGCACACTGCAACTGTCATAAATACAAGTCAGTTGCCAAGCATCTAAATTTTGATCACATGACCATGTCGATGCTGCAATGGTCATAAGTAAGTGTGAAAAACAGTCATAAGTCACTGTTTTCAGAACCCTTGTAACTTTGAATGGTCACTAAATGAACAATGTAAGTTGAAGACTACCTGTTATTTCTATTTACACTTATATTTCTAAACTATCATCATTTATTTTAACAAAAATAACTATACTCTCTCAATTCTTTGATCTTAAAAGAAGTTCTTTTACATTCATTTTAAAACTCTAATTTTTAAAAACATTCATCTTCATGAATAAAAGCAATTAATTTAATCAATTAAAATTTTAAAGTCATTCCCTACAGCTTGTCTCATAAAATAAAATCTTTTTCTTTTTTAGAATGTCTATTAAATATATACACTTCTCTTTTTCTCAAGAGATTCTCCAATATCAAATGTCAGCATTGTCAATTCCTATTTCAATTTTGAAGTAAAGATCCCAAACTTGTTCTCCTTAGGATTATAGATTTACTTACACTTTACTTTACTCTTCTTCATTCAGTTGCACTTGGGGACTTATAATTAAACCATCTTCATAGGAGCACTGTTGGTAGCAGATTTATATTCCAAAATTGCAGTATTGTCAAATATGCATGCAATAACCTTAGTTGGTTGATAACTTTCTGCACATAGTTGCAACTCTGGATTACTCATCTTTCTTCTAATTATTTGAGTAATTTGTTCGTCTTGGTCCTCACATGACATCTTTAGAATATACAAGTAGACCTTGAGTTGCAACCACAATTGAACCCAACATTTCTATTCTTAAGTACAACATTTGTTAAGTGAGTTTTGCCCCATTTTATGACCTTTCTGGCCACAGATGTTAAGTGAATAACTGCAGTTGATAAGATAGTAACCTGGTTGTTAGGTGAATCTGGCTTCCTATTGGTTTTGCTTGTCAGAAGATTGCAAAAGGTAATCTCATGATCCTTGGACATAGCAATGGTCATAAATGTGAATCAGTTGCCAAATATCTGCATTTTGATCACATGATCACCGGGATGCTGCAAAGGTCATAACTGTCATAATGCTGAAAATGTCATAAGTTACATTTTTCAGTACCATTGTATCTTTGAATGGTCACTAAATGAACTGTTGTAAATCAAGGACTACTTGAAGTTGATCTATAAAGTGAATTGTTTGGTTTAAATACTCTTCCAAAATAATTTTTGCAATCCCTATCTGGTTTAGATACCTTCTATGTTGCTTCATCTTCTGTGCTCTAGCTCCCTCTTATGGTCAAGAAAAAAATATTTTTTTTTTAAAAAAAAGCTTTTTACAGATCAGCAGGTATATCCTGGCCAATCAGAATCCTTGGTAGGTAGGTAACATGCTAGTGATGCTGTTACCTAGTTTGGGTAATAAAATGTCTGCAAGAAAACAACCAAGCTCAGAGAGCACCAAGGACCCCTCATTTCAATCCTGAGCTACAAATATTTTTTTTAATCACAGTCCAAATCCCTTAAAATTAAAATATTTCAGCCTCCCACAATAAACAACCCAAAAGTGCCCAAATAAACCCAAATAAAGGTGACAAATTCATGAAAATGGCCAAAGAAAACTGCAACTTTTTAAATCCTTATATTTCTATTTCTTCAAAAAGGAGTTTACAGGTTGTGAGAAGAGAAGAAAGAGCCTCTTAGTTAGTAAAATAAATTTTAATAATAAAATAAAATAATAATAAAATAAATTTAAGAAGTAAAAGGAACAACTTATTGTCTGTTTAAAACATAAATTTCAAAATGGCTATATTGTAAATTTTCAGCAAGGAAGTAATTGTAGTCCCGTCTCTTCTGGGGTAATTCTGAGACTCCTGCTAACCCAGGAGAGTCATATATACTTAGGGAATTTAGTTCCCTTGTTTGTAAATTGAAGGCACTTTTCTGGATTGTCAAGTCAGCCATCTTCCTGAGTGGTTAATGAGGGACAGGTTTAACACTTCAAAACATGGAAGGGTGGGCATCCATTTTTATGGAGGAGGGGGTAATTTTGTTTTGACTTTGGTGTAAAACAAATGCAACAACAATTTAATACTCCTACACTTCATTTCATTTCATATCTAGGAAAATTTTAAGTTCTGAGACAATTAACTTGACTTTTGCCTGTGTGTGTGTGGAAGCCCCTGCTTTGTCAAAACCAAATGTTCCATGTAACTAGTTGTCATTCAAATCTGGTGTTTAGATGCTTCTAATTTCCATTTCACTGTTATTGTTTGCAGGTATTATTATAAAACTGGAATTTTAGAACGAGTTGACAGGAGATTAGTGTATAAATTTGGAAAAAATGCACATGGATGGCAAGAAAGCAACTCATGAGATACCCATATCTTTGGACTCATTATCTAATAAACAATGTGAAGGTCAATTCCCACAGATGGAAGTTCTCTGCCAGCTTTTCTAGATCGAAATGGCCATATACTCTGGATAACTGGATAAAATAACCATTAATAGACAGTCTGGATTAGGAAATGTACTGCCTTTGCACTTTTTATCTACCACACAACCTGCATGGCATAAGCACCCATAATATGGTTTCAATCTTTCCAGTAATCTGGTGCGATTTTGCTCTGAAAGCCAATAAGAGTTTGTCATCAGTACTTAAACCTAAATCCCAGGTTTATAGTACTTCCATTTTGAGTTTGATGGAATTTTGAATAGCATTTTCTTGATATCATCTTCTACCAATGGGTGAGCAACTGATTGTCATGTGGTCTGTACGAGTCTCTGTAATATTTTTTACAGGCTCAAAGAACCATAGAAGTAGTGCCTCTAATACTCAGCAGTAGAGTCCAAGAAACGGGTGCAATTTCCTATTGCTTGAATGGAAAATAATGTGTGTTTTTTAAAATGATGTGTTTAAATAATATTAAAAAGTACTCAAATGCAAAAAAAGATCTGCTTTATCTAGTAAAAGATAGTCCATGTCTACCATCATACTCCAATAGGTAACGTAGAATGATCATTTTTCTCTATCCTATCAACCTGAATGTGGATATGTGCTCTTCTAGATATAGTTGAATTGGAACTCCCAACAGACTCAGCCAATATAACCAATGAAAATGGCACATGGATCTAATTCACCAACTTTGGGAGGCCAACAAGTTCCTCTGCCTGTCCTCTTGCATTCAAAGTTTCATCTTGCCTGCAGCAACATTCTTAGTGTGGTTATGCTGGTAGTCACAACAATATTTGTCACAGCATGAATAAAAAAAATTATTTGTGGTACTATATATGAAGGTTACACTTGAGTCCAAACAGACTTGGGAAAGACTGGTTCTGATTCCAGCTGGATAAGGATTTGGTGCTACTATTCACTTTTTACACATGCGAAAGGAACCGAAACCAATATTTCTGCTTCAGAATTTGTGAAGAAGTTTTTTTTTTCTTTCTTCAGGAAGAAAGGCACTGTGTTCTGTGTTCATAATGCCACTTTTGTAATCTATAAAACATGAAAAGACTTTAGCTATGATTTACACTCCCTCACTCAAAGCAAGGTTGTACATCAAGAATGTGGTTGAATAAGTTGGCTTCTTAGGACTGTTGTTTCTCTTCCTGGGAATAAAGTTAGTTCATTGACTGATTTACTAGATTTCTACAAAATTGTAACAGTGTAACTTTAACCATCTTTATTATTAATATTTTTAATTAATGATAATTCCTTCACATTATATATTCTTTAGCACACACTTTTTTATTTGTTCATGTAATATTGGCTGGGTGAGTGGGTCTGTCTGTGTAGGTAGGTAGGTAGGTAGGTAGGTAGGTAGGTAGATAGATGGATAGATAGATAGATAGATAGATAGATAGATAGATAGATAGATAGATAGATACCATATTTTTTGGACTATAAGACACACTTTTTTGTCTCACAAAAGAGGATGAAAATGTCTGTGTTTCTTATAGACCAAATATTGCCGAAGCCCCACCCACCAGCCGGCTGTTTTTTTTGCCTCCGCACACCCCATTTCCGGGCCTTTTTTTTGGCCTGTTTTCGAGGCTTTTTTCAGCCCATTTTTGTAGCTTTTTTGGCCATTTTTTTCAGAAAAAACAGCCTGAAAAAAAGCCGAAAAAATGAGCCGAAAAAACCTTCAAAAATGGGCCAAAAAGAGCCTCGAAAATGGGCTGAAAAAAGCCTCAAAAACAGTCCAAAAAAAGCCTCGAAAATGGGCCAAAAAAACCCCCTCAAAAACAGGCCCAAAAAGCCTCGAAAATGGCCCAAAAAGCCTCAAAAACGGGCCAAAAAAGCAAAAAAATGGGCTAAAAAAGGCTCAAAAATGGGCCGTAAAAAGCCAAAAAAAATGGGTCGAAAAAGCCTAGAAAACGGGTAGAAAAAAGCCTTGAAAATGGGCCAAAAAAAGGCTGCAAAAGGCCACCCAAAAGGCCCAAAAATGGGGCACGTGGAGGCCAAAAACTTTTTTTTGTTGTTGGTTTCCGCTTCCAAATTTAGGTGCATCTATTAGTCTGAAAAATATGGTAGATAGATACTGATGCTTGGTGGAGTGAAACATATCAAGCCTGCCAGTTAGAACATATTTGAAATAAATGAAACTACATGAGTTAACTGCCTGTGTATACATAGACCATAATTTAAATAATTTACATTTTGCAGACCTTTCTGAAAACAAAATCTTGTGCTTTATTAGAGAAGTTGTATTGTAAGCCGCCCTGAGTCTCCGGAGAAGGGTGGCATATAAATCAATTTTTTTTAAAAAAAAAGTCATAAAATATTATTTTGTGGAAATTGCTAAACTTTATGCTGCAGTCTTCTAAAAGAGAAGACGACTCTATGAACTCTTAGCAAGTCCTAATGAACTTAGCAGAACATACTTCTAAGTAGATTTACTTAACTCAGAAGTTTGATATTGACATTAGAAGAAATGCATAATTATTTTTGAAGCAATATATTTGTATTGTGCATTAATATATTCTACCTCAGATGAATCTTGATAGGAATAATTGGGGATGCTACAGTCATAAATTAGGAGGTCCTCTGCAAACTTCATAGATCTCACTTGCACTTTTATAACTCAGTCTTATTATTTTATATCATAGCAATTGTGAATCCTAACAAATTGAAGGCTTTAGAATATGCAACTTTTTTCGAACATTTATTCGTAATGTTCAAAAAAAGTTACACATTCTAAAGCCTTCCAACAGCAATGCTGTTGTTTTAAATTCAGTTTTGTTATGCTCAGAATAGAATCTTGTCAGCTACACATGGGAAATCAAATCTAATGCCAATTAGAATTACAATTCCCTTATTATTGCCCATTCTGAATAAAACGTCTAGGAATTATAGATTAAAACATCTGACTGATCCCACATGACATGTCACTAAACTAAGTCCATAAGACCAAAAGTAAAGCAAGTTCACTGTTCTAATTAACACAGAGATCCTATTCACATTTTTTTCTCAATTTACGTATTTCATTTTGGCTTCTGCAATGTTTCTTTTTCCTATTAAAGTCTCTCTTTCTTCCTTGGTCAATAAAGGCTAGACTTGGCAAACAGACTGGTATTGCTCCAGCATTATCCACAGTAGGATGCATGCATCAAAAGGTCAAGATTTTATTTTAACTTTGGAAATAAAATACAAAAATTGCATTTAAAAAAAAAGATCAAGATGGCAACCTGCAACTGAATCTCTGTCTCCCTACCCTTTTTTTTTTTCAAGAGCTACCATGTAAAAAGGACAGTACTTTGTGTGATCAATCTTATCATTTTGACTTCTTTGAACTCCCAGCAGATGTCCCTAAACTGGTCATTGTTTATTTGTTTGCTTAAAAAAAAAAACTATAGGCCAAAACTGTGCAGTTTACTGTAATTCTTAGACCCACCCAACCTTCTACAACATAAGTAAATAGCTATCAATACTTTCAAGGCGTTTATGTCAATGAACATTGTAATGAACAAGCAAGAAGGCTTATTAATTACAAAAATAAGATTCTAAGATTCAAAGTTAAAAAGTATTCTTTGTGAAAAAGGTATTTAAAAAGTATTCTTCACTATTCATTTTTCAAGATCAAGAACAAGCCTCATGAAGTATTGGTTTTCATTATAAGGAAGGTTTCCTTTTGAACTTCAGTAAATTCCTGTTTCAAGAAAGAAAAGGCTGGGAGACTGAGCTTAAGAAGTGTGGAGAGGGGGAAGTACAAAAAAGTCAACCTACTAGGAGACATATTTAGTGTAAGAGCTTTGTGCTGCTTTTTGGGGATTACCAAATTATAGGTAAACAGTTGGATTCCACTCTCTTGTACATACAAACTTGTACATTATCTTAATTAACTTGATCTCCCCGCATAACTTTTTGTCATTTGTTCCTGGAGCTACTTTATTATTGCATTTATTTTGACAACTAAATGCAGAATATGACAACTTAATGACTTCCATAGAATGTAGTTTCTAGAATACCATTGCAAAACTACATGGTTAATATCTAAATTGAGTTTGTAGCAGTCAGCCAATAGGCCTAAATTTTTTTAACTGTTCTTTTTTTCAAAATGTAGCATGATTTTACTGTGTTATACCTCTGAAGTAGTGGAAAACACACCCTGTGCATGATCTAGAATAAATGTGATGTTTTATTAAATACGTTTGTGAGCAAATGTAAATTCTTATATTGTAATCATGCATTTTTGGTTCATTACAGTTTGTAGAGAGTGTATATAAAATGTTTAATTCTAAACAGCATCCTTTATTTTGAATTTGTTTTGATAACTCAAATTAGCAGCAGCTACAAATTTTAAAGCTTTACAAATGATGGCATGCTGAGAATTTACATGATATATTTTCTGTTTATAGCCCACACAGTTGGAAATCTTCAATATTTCTTGCTTGTTTTCTATAAGAATTGTTATTTTCATAAGAACATTTGATCTAATGATTATTCAATTGCTACATAATCGCAATGCTTATTATGATTATTATGTATGTATTTAGCAAAATTGCTTATTTTTTTACTTCTTGAAAATGAAGAATAACTGTTGAAAAGAGTCAACTATAAATATTTTAACATTTTAAATAGTTGGGTGGTGCCTCCTTAACCTTTTCCCTTCCAACTTTATGTACTCCAGATCCATCCAACTACCAAATTCTGAGTGCAGTTTAGAAAGGCAAAACATTCGTTTAAAAGCCACACAGGGAGAAATTAATCAGCTTAATTTGGGAAAGAAAACTGTCAGAAAAATTATCTGTTACTCTCTTTTTCTTTTAAAATGCTTCACTGGGTGAACCAATTAGAAATAAGATTTTATTGTAACTGAAGGGATGATAATAACAAATCTAAAATCATGATCAATTCAAAATTGTCTTGGCTTGGTTGGGCAGACTGAGTGATTTTTAAATTCTCAAAAATAGCTTGGGGTTGCTTTTCCAGTAAAAGAAAATAGAGTGTCCTTCAATCTGAACTTGAGTTCAGATTGAGTTCTGATTATCTATGTTGGGGTTTTTGGCAGGAATACAAAACTGGCTTGCTATTACCTTCTTCCATATTTTTTTAAAAAATATTTTCTGTATATAGCTGCTCAAATCACTCCCAAATCCCAGCTATTGTAGAACAATGTGATTTCCCAAATTCATGAACACTAGACTCTACTATATGAACCCCAAATACTGCTTCACTGTCTCTTTTTTAAATGTTTTATAAAGTTATGGTTCAACTCCATCAAACATATACCTCCAACAATTCTGTCCTTCACTGACAGACAGCATAGCACTGCAAATGCTTACAGATTTCTACTGTTCAACATGACTTCCCCAGCTGGTCCCCTCTAGATGTGTCAGGATATACGTACAAGAATTTCAGAGAGTTATACATCTGAATGACATTAGACTTAGGAAGAGTAACCAACATCCCATACAGGAATGTACAGTAACATGCATGTAAACAAATTCTACATTACTAAAGAGAGGCCACGCACAGTTGCCACAATCTAAATAACAGTTCTTTGTATATACAATTGACAACCAATTGTCAATGGTCTTGGGAACAGCAGAATTAGAGATTTGATTAGACATCTAAGGTACATTTGAACTAACAACACTGGCTTGAAGTTATATAATTATTTCATCCCTAGGTTTGCTTGGGAGCAACGAAGTATGCTATCAGAAGATGTACTGTGGTTTTGAAGGTATTCAAAGAAACAGAACAATCTGATGAATTTAGAAATCTCCCCGAAATATTATTTCAGATAGATACTTTTCTGAAATTTTCTTTGACTTTTAATTAATAATTTACTTTGCTTAAATATGCTGGAAATTATTGGAAGTTCAGAAAGAGAGGTCTGTCCTGTCTTAGTACAAATTTTCAAATTCCACATGTTCAGATGTACAGTAGATGTAAGTATTGTGTGGAAAATGGCAACCTTTTTCCTTACAGAACCAATCATTTTAAACCATTTCAATCACTCAACTCTAACCTGCATACAGCAATATCTCTGAACACTATAAATCACTTAAAATCAATCAGTAATAGTGCTACAATAAACTTCAATTTTAAGTAAAATTGATAAAATTTTACATAGTTCACTAACCTGATTCATAAATGCATTCCCTACTCATACTAAAAGTGTCATAATTCATCAAAGGTGTGAGTGTTCATTTTAAGTTCATTCTCCAAATTTGTGATATATATTCCTCCCCTCATCGATCTTATATCACAGACACTAACCAAATATCTAGTTCTTGGAACAATATTTTATATTTTTATACCTTTGAATATTTCAAATGTGCAAAACTAAAGTATTAGTTGAGTATTATTCAGTATTATTGAGCCACGGTGGCGCAGTGATTAGAGTGCAGTACTGCAGGCTACTTCTCCTGCCTGCCGGCTGCCTGCAATTTGGCAGTTCAAATCTCACCAGGCTCAAAGTTGACTAAGCCTTCCATTCTTCCGAGGTTATTAAAATGAGGACCCAGATTGTTAGGGGCAATATACTGACTGTAAACCACTTAGAGAGAGCTGTAAAGCACTATGAAGCAGTATATAAGTCTAAGTGCTATTGCTATTGCTATTAATAAGCACACATGCAAATACTGAAAAGTATATTTTAGCTATGGCTTGCTTTTAGTATTGAATATACAGATAGTCCTCAACTTTCAACAGTTCATTTAGTGACCATTCAAGTTACAATGGCACTGGAAAAAAATGACTTAGGAATGTCCCAGGGTCATATGATCATCTTTTGTGACCTGACAAGCAAAATCAAAGGAAATGCCAGATTCACTTAACAACCATGTTACTCATTTAGCAACTGCAGTGATTCACTTAACAAGTGTGGCAAGAAAGGTCATAAAATGGGGGAAAGCTTAATTAACAACTGTCTTCCTTAGCAACAGAATTGGCTGTAAATTGAGAACTACTCATAAGTTTTCATTTGAGGTTTTTTTTCTCTCAAGTACTTACTTTTGTCACCAGCAGATGGAACCAGATTCAAATCAGCAGCTCAACACTGTAGTGTTAAGATTCAATGCTTATTTTGCTAAAGGATTTGAATTAAAGATTTGAAGTCCAGTAATTGATACACTGTTTTCCCCAAAATAAGACATCCCCTGATAATAAGCCCAACTGGGTTTTTGAGCACATGACAATAAGGCCAAGCGCTTATTTCAGGGTTCAAAAAAATATAAGACAGGATCTTATTTTCGGGGAAACACAGTACTTACATAAAAGGAACTGGACACTTTTGTCATTTTCAAGATGAAAAAATTAGTGGAATCTACGCTATCAATGAAATGACTGTTTTTATCCATGCAGAGAATTCTACCGTGTAACACTAAAACAGAATAGTAGTATGTGTGCAGATTTGAAATTATTTGCATGATGAATTCATTCCAATATTGCTTTGACATATATTAGTCTACTGCTTCAGCTGCTTCTCTCCATTTCCAAGTCATTTCCATTATTAGTAACAATAAGAAAGAAAAATCATGGCGATTGTAAGAAGTTTAAGTTAAATGAGGCAAGACTTCAGTACCTTCTAATGGATGCTGCACTGTTAACCATAGCCACTTTTGCTTGTGTTATGCTATGTTTATATAATTGATTAACCAAGGTGAACAGGTTATAGAAAATTTGGTTTATGAGAATCTGTAAATCAGTCATACACTATGGTTTTTTAATTCTTCTTCTTCTTGTTGTGCCATATCAGTCATTGGACGTTGGCGATCATATTGGCAGTCCTATTTTTGTCAACAGCCGCATGAAAAAGTGCTGCTGAGTTTTGTCCAAACCAGTCCCTTAGGTTTTGAAGCCACAATGTTCTTCTGCCTGGACCTTGTTTGCCTTCAATCTTTCCCTGGAGGAATAAGTGAAGGATGCAGTATTTTTCTGGGTGTCACATCACATGTCCAAAATATTCTAACTTTCACTTTTTAATGGTTCTGATGATTTCCCTTTGCTTTCCCAGGCAGCTTATCATCTCATTTGTGATTTTGTTAATCAGTTTATACATAACAGCCATCTGTAAATCCACATTTATAATGCTTCTAATTTCTTCAAGTGGTTTTCTGTCAGAGACCAACTCTCTACTCTGTAGAGCAGGATAGAAAAGATGTAACATCTGACAAGCCTGATTTTCAGTCTTAGGCTTATGTCATGACTGCAGACGACCTTTTTCATTTTGAAGAATGCCGTTCGAGCTTTCTCTATCCTCATCGTTACTTCACTGATCATGTCCCAGTTTTCATGTAAATTAAAAACGAAGTACATGATCCTTTCAACTTTTTCTAGTGGTATTCCTTCCAAATTTATCAGTGGTAAATTGTTTGTTTGCTGACAACCATGATCTTTGGTTTTTGTGGTGTTAAGCTTCAAGCCATATTTTTCAGATATTTCTGAGACTGTTGATGAGGAGCTGAAGGTCTTCATGCTTACTGGCAAGCAGAACTGTATCATCAGCATATCTTAAATTGTTGATCTGAACACTGTTTACTTTGAGGCCAGCATCAATATTTTCCAGTGCTTCGTTGAAAATTGACTCAGAGTAGATATTAAACAACAGCGGAGACAGAATACAGCCCTATCTGACCTCTCTTTGTATTTCTGCATCATCTGAGAATTTTTGACCTAGTCTCACAATTGCTATCTGATGCCAATATAGATTCTTTATGATTCGGATGTCTTTGTCATCTAGTCCTACTTGTTCAGGATTTGTAATAGTTTGCTGTGTCTTATTTTATCAAATGCTTTTTCAAAATCGATGAAGCACATGTAAACACTGTGATTGACATCTTTACAGCGCTGTACAAGAACTTGAATGCTGAATAGTGCATCTAGTGTATCAAGATTGTGTGTTACTTAGATACTCCTCAATTCTGTTGTATATTCTTGTGTGAATTATTCTCAGGAATAATTTTAACTATAAATAATTTTTTAACTACTGTATACTTTCCTGAATAAACAATGCTTGAATTTACATAATTCATTAAGCCAAGTCAAATAAGCCACATTTAGTTTGACCAAGATGAATGGGCAGGCTGCAACCCCAGAGTTACATGGAGCTCCTATATGCTGGATCTGAATCCCATGGAGCCCTCTCGGAATATACTGCTGAGTTTTAGTCATATAATTGCCAAAACTCCATTCTAAAATGATAAAATTATAGAGGGTGAGGGTAGGAGTTATATGGGTCTCCAAAAATGCATTATCAGAAAAAGAACATTCCAAACCTGCTCATTTGTAACAGAACTCAATTTATTTTTTATCCTCACTATAGACCGATATTCATTTCTCTATCTATCTATCTCTCACTCACACACTCTTGTGGCTCTCAAAAAGTGATGCATTGAGAACATGAGTGAACACTCTCATCCATTTTAGAGTATAACAGAAAAGCAAATATATGATTAGTAGATTAGCAGAATATTAAAAGAGAATTGAGGCATTAAGACATTTATGAGAATTTTATTGTAGAATAAGCATTGTAAAAACATTCCAGTTTTATTGTTTCAAAAGTCTGCTGTTGTCATCCATCTTGAACCAACAAAAGAAACCCAAGAACAAGGAGAATTTGCAATTAGCATAATCCATTGTTTAATCATTCTTAAGTGTACAGTATGAATGGAGGTTTTCATTCACAGATTCATACACAGTGTATCTTTATTTAAAATTGCTCTAATTGTAGTAATTATATAATATTATTTCATTTACTTGTTACACTACTAAAATGTCTGAGTGGCTGATTTTGACTCTCAATGGCTCTGGATTTTGGGGCCCAATGGTTTCCAGGACAATGCCATCTTTAGTGCTGGATGGGATTAACTGTCCAAAGAAAGACCCAGTACATAACTTGGAGGTCCTCCTAGACTCACAACTCTTCCTCAATGAGCAGGTGGCAGTCTTGGCTGGGAGAAACTTTGCACAGCTTTGTGTTGTGTGCCAATTGCACCTGTTCCTGGATCAGCAGACACTTGTCACAGTTAGTCACTTATGCTCAACTCACCTATAGATTGGATTACTGCAATGAATTCTATATGGGGCTGCTCTTGAAGAATATCAAAAGTTTCAGCTTGTACAAAAAATAGTGGTGTGAGCAGTTATGTGTGCTCTTAGAATAGTGCATGTTATATCTTTGCTCTGTGAGTTGCATTGGTTGTCAGATTGCTTCCAGTCCAATTCAACTGCAGATGCTGTTTTTGACCTATAAAGCCCTTCATGGCATGTAACTGGGCTATTCAGACAATGCCTTTCCCTAGTCTTTCCCATTTTGCCAGAGTAGGCATGCTACAGGTACCATCAGCATGGGGGGAGGGGCGTTTCCTTCATTTTATGGAATATTCTTTACTGCAAAATTGTTACTTTCATCCTTTTGATATTCCACAAGGCTCTCGCAACCTTTTATAGTATCAGGTCTGGGGTTCTCAGGGAATTAAAGACTTGCTAAAATTGCTCCATTCCTGAGGTAGCTAGTTTTATTTTACTCTCTCTTTGTCTAGGGTTTGTATGCCTGTTTTTATATTATCTACCATTTATATATTTTTGCATCTGTGGCTTTTATAATGTGGTTTTACCCATTTATGGTGTGACATCCAAAAGCATCTTTGGTGAGATGGGTAGCTATATAAATTTGATTAATTAAATAAAAAAAATATCAGCATTACCAACAACAGATATAAATGTGTGTATGTATATACAGCATGTATGGGTGTGTGTATGCATATATATTCTGTCAGTGAATAAATGAAAAATGAATGAACTGGAAGGGATCTTGGAAGTCTTCTAGTCCAGCACCTGCTCAGGCAGAAGAACCTATACTATTTCAGATAATAGACTCTAGACTCTTCTTAAAAACCTCGAGTGATGGAGCGCTCACAATTTTTGGAGGCAAGCTGTTCCACTGGTTAAGTGTCTTCACTGTTAGGAAGTTTCTCCTTAATTCTAGGTTGCTTCTCTCTTTGATTAGTTTCCAACCATTGTTTTTTGTCCTGTCTATCGGTGCTTTGGAGAATAATTTGACCCTCTCTTCTTTGTGGCAGCCCCTCATGTACTGGAATACTGCTTATCATGTTACCCCTAATTCTTCTTTTCTTTAGACTAACCAAACTCAAATCCTGCAGCCGTTCTTCATATGTTTTAGTCTCCAGGCCTTTGATCATCTTAGTTGCACTTCTCTGAACTTTTTCCAAATCTCAACATCTTTTTTGTAGTATGGTGACCAAAATTGGTCATAGTAAATTCCAGGTGTGGTCTTACTTTTATAAATGGAGATTTTTTACATGAATAGAAATCATGTTTTGAGTATTACGCAAAAATAACACAATTGTTGCACTAATATTTCAACCATGCCATTTCAGAATTATTGTCAACACACATTCAGCCTAAATTATCTATAGTTTTTTTTAAAAAAAGATCTTCAAATTGGAATGCTTTTGTATTGCTGCTAACAGATAAGAACATAATACCATTATATATAAAGCTTTCATAGTACAAGTAAGTTTCACATTTAAACATAATTCTCCTTCAAATATGTTACAATAGTTTTTAAATGTACTACGTGGAGATTTGAAAAAGATTTGTTATATGCAATACAAAAGCCAGCACTGCCAATAAAAGGTATCAATCATAACAATGTATATTCTTTTGCTAAATAAATGCAGGATTACAATAATAAAACATGTTAATACACAAAAATAAACCAAAAGTTATTATTCTAATGTATTTCAAATGTATTGCCAGGTTGTATTCAGCATTAACAATCTATATGGTGAATTCAAATTGTTTTTATAGTCAGAATCACACTTGGTTATGTACTGCAGTTAACAGAATAACAGCAGGTAATTCCATTACATGTAAAGCTTTTCATAGCTCATTTTCCAGATTGAGGGATTTCAGATAAACAGTTGCAATGTGACTGCTAATGATAGATCATGCCATTTACAGATAAGATTTCTCCTTTCCAGTGAATGAAGTTTGTGTATTATGTATGAACTTAATCCTAGAAACCATAATTAAAAAAACAATTAGTATGTCTTAATATAAAATACATAATTTATTTTAAAGACAGTTATATATGCACACATTTCTTTATATACAGTTATATACATGAAATACTAACAGATTCCTTTCTTTACTACTCCTTTATACTTGTATATCTGTATAAGGACAAAAACCATAGTGATACTAATATTTATAGATACTATTGTAATTCCACTGAAATGGAATATTTTAATATCCCTTGTTAAAATTGAATTCCAGATATTGTATGTTATATAGAAAAACATAAGAGTTTTTCAAGCTCTTCTCATTCCTCCTCTAAGCCTGTCCACAGCCATTTGTGGCATCTCTGCCTTAATCTATTTTCAAATTGCTTATTCTTTACTTACTTTCTACAGCAATCTGAATTGATAATGTTTTCTTACCTTTATTTTTCCTTCAGCATTGTGTTTATCCAGATAGGCTTGAATGCCTGCACCATAATCAGGATGAACATCAGTAAAGTTTTTCACCTAAATTGGCAAAAAAAAAAAAGTTGAGGTCAACTTTTATAATTCCTGTACTGATGAGGACAAGTCAATTGCTATAGGCACCGATATCTGAAATTTCAACACACCAGGAGTGTACTTACTAAACTACTGATATGACAAAAGTACTATTTTTCAATTGAAAAGCTGAAAGTTATATAGAATAGAATAGAATAGAATAGAATAGAATAGAATAGAATAGAATAGAACAGAATTTTATTTGTGTGAGATTAGACACACAAGGAATTTGTCTCCAATGAAGTTCTCAGTGTACATGCAAAGCAACAGAATTGTCATCATCATCATACCAATAATAGGGGGTAGTGAAGGAGATAATAAGAATAATAATGATATTACAGCCATACTATATGGATAAATACGCATAGACTTGTAAAAACTAAACATATCTAAATCTAATTTTAAAATTATTTATCATAAGGTCTTTATTCTTCTACAAAATGAAATATATTCAACACTAACATTAATCTTGACTGGAAACTTAACAACTTACATTTTTATTAATTTTCAAATTAAAATGTTGAAAAGGCTCCAACAGAACAATTGTAAGGATTATTCAAAAGAAAACTTTAATTGAGCACAATGCACCTTACATTATCCCCATCCTGCTCCCACCAGAGATCATCAAAAAACATGACCAATGCCATTTCCATCCCATATCCAGGCCTGAACCCTGATTGGAAAGGATCTAGACATTCCATTTCATCCAGGAATCTCTAGACCTTTCCTGAAAAGGGATGCTTGGAGACAGGTTGGAAATTATCCAACACAGTGGAATTTAGTGATGGCTTCTTAAAAAGAGGGCAGACCACAGCCTCCTTAAAATGCTGGGGCACAACCCCCCCCGCCCCAGGGAAGTATTAATCACCACCAGAACCCACCCGCATGTCAATTCCCGAGAAACTTTCACAAGCCAGGATGGGTCTAAAATACAGATACTTGCACTCATACTCCCTAGGTTCCTGTGCACTCCCTCAGGAGTAGTAGGGTTAAACTGTTCCCAGGGCAAGAACCTGCCTCAGGTGTCCCTACTAGACCGGCAACCACACCAGCATCTAACTGGAAATAAAGCCGATAAATTTTGTATTCCAAAAAATCAGCAAATTCCTCAGCACACCCTTTCAGGGGGACCTTTGTATCTCCTTCCCCAGGACAAGAAGGTTCACCTTAAAAAATCGCTGACCGATTATCTGCAGTTCACAAATTAAGGATCTTTACAGTTTGGTATCACCAAGCATAAGGTTCACTACCACAAATTTTTCTAGGAAAAGAAACTGGCAAATCAGAGGCATTCTCTGGGCTACTCATGGATTGCCTGACCCAAGACTTAAATGGAAAAAGCACACTGGATTTCATAAAAATCAACATAGATTTTTCAACAACATGCTTTCCAAGTATTTTTCTTCTGGAACACACAATATCTAACAGAGTACAAGAAATATCTATACTTAAAAGAAAATGAACTCAACAACTATCCGTATTTAAAGAAATATGATACTGTAGAGCAGGGGTGTAAAATGTGTTGTCACAGTGTTGTCACATGATGTATCGTGACTTTTTTCCCCCTTTGCTAAACCGGGCATGGGCGTGGCCAGTGCATGATGCATCAAGGCTGTGGACTGCGAGTTTGACACCCCTGCTATAGAGCATGCATAACTCCATAATCCATAACACTAAACTGAAAAGATATAACTTAGTTATAAGTTATATATAGTTATATATAGTTAACTAATACTATAAACACACGTGTGTGAAGAGAGAGAGAGAGAGAGAGAGAGAGAGAGAATGAGACAGAGACGACAGAGACAGAATGAGAGTGAGAGTGAAAGAGTGTCCTTGACTTATGATCACAATAATGGGACCAGAAAATTCATCATAAAACAGTACAGATGTTAACTGAGTTTTCATATGACGGCACTCAATTTTACAATCTTTTTTCCATGGTTGTTCAGCAAATTATCTATGCTCATTAAGCATAAGACATCACACAACCATGATTTATGACCTCCTGCCAGCTTCTCTGCTGACTCTGTTTGTCAGAACATCGGAGAAGATTGCAAATGGTGATCATATGACTGTAGGATGCTGCACCTGCCAAGGTCCCAGATCCTAGTCATGTGATTCCAGGGATGCTGAGGTGTCATAAGTCTGAAGACAAGTCATATGTCACTTTTTTCTGCACTGTATAACTTTGAACAATAATTAAATGAGTGGTCATTATCAAAAGCTTCTATCCGTTAAGCAAGGACTATCAAAAGCCTTCATCCATTAAGCAAGGACTATCAAAAGCCTTTATCCAGAATTGTATGCCGGCAGATGTGTGAGACCAAGAAAAGACACAGCTGCTTTAAAGAATTATCAACAGATGATATCTGTGTGTCCTGCATGCTCCAAAATCCAAAGCGTCTCAAATTGGAATCTCTGCACAACCTTGTGATGTATTACATTGGTACTTACAGTTCTCCTCTGGATGAAAAGCTGAGCATTCTTAAGATGGTTGGCAATGTTCTCACAAAGCCTCATGCGCTCTTCCTCATTCAATACTTTGACAAAGAAATCCCGTACCTTTCAATAAATAGTGAAAGCAATCGTTATACATATATCTTCTGCAGACCTAATAGAAATCTTCTACAATTCCAATTTCGTGAATTGTATCAACCTCAGCTATTAAATAAATGAGAATAAACTGATGGCTATTTACAATTATCATGGAATTCTCTCTGCTGTTTAAAATGTGAAAAGTTCTTCCTTCTTTTAACTCCGCACCCCCACCCCCATTCATATGTTATAAACAATGCACTAACAACTGACTGCCTCTTTAGCCAAAGCAGCTCTCAGAGCCACATCTGGATCAAGCAGCTTAACCTCCTACCTCCTCAGATATTCCCTAATTTTCCTTCAAGGCATTATTGACAGAACAAATAGTAGTCAATGTACAAGCGGTCATTTAACAATCTTTTAAAATTATATCAGGCACAGAACAGGTGCTTTGAGCCCGTATCAGGAAGTGTCATACCGCATCTCCACCACAATCACATGACTGCATCTTAGAATCTTGGCAACCATGGGCGGGTTCCAAATCCCATCGCTACCGGTTCACGCATGCGCGTGTGGTGCTTCTGCACATGCGCAGAAGCTTCTGTGCATATGCAGAAGCGTCTGGGTGGGTGGGCGGAGCCTCCCGCCACCGCTGCTACCGGTTCTCCCGATCCAGTGCAAACCAGTAGCAACCCACCACTGTTGGCAACCATCTTGCCTTTATGACTGGTTACGTCATCTCACGGTCGTGATTTGTGACAGTGTTTGCTAGTTACTGGCAAAAAATCCACTCATTTAAAAAAATGGGTTTACTTAAGTGTGAATTCATTTAATGACCACAGTGATTTGCTTAATGACTGCCACCAAAATGCTGTAAAATCTGGTCCATTCATGAGAGTGCCTTGACTTACGACTGTAAATCCAGTCCCAATTGTGTTTATAAGTCAAGGACTACTTCCAAATATTATTTTTTTTATAAAAAGGGGGAAGGGAATATTTTTGAATGTTCTGCAGTATAGAGGACTGGCACCTTATAGTAATTTTGGCCAAACCAGGAAAATAGAGGACTGACTCCAAGAGACCGAATAATGTCCCTTTTATACATGTGGAGAAAATCGAGTAACAAAAGTTGAGAGCAAATAGGAAGCCAAAGCTTAATTACTTGAGGATAGAATTATATCAAGCAACTGCTCTCATTTTTTTGTTTTAAATTAGATGCTTGGAAGACGTACAAAGGGAATGTTGATGATAAATTTACCTTGCTAACAAAAAGAGAGAAAAATAAAAAGTGCCCTTACAGAGACAGTTCATTTCCAACAGTTTATTTCCAGAACACAAGTAGTCCTCAATTTATGACCACAGTTGAGCCCAAAATTTATGTTGCTAAGTGAGACAGTTGTTAAGTGAGTTTTGCCCCATTTTATGACCTTTCTTGCCATATTTGTTAAACGAATCACTGCACTTGTTAAGCTAGGAACAAAGTTGTTAAGGGAATCTGCCTTCCCCATTGTCTTTGTCTGTCTGAAGGTTGCAAAAGTTGATCACATGACCCAGGGACACTGCAGCTGATCACATGATCCAGGGACACCGCAGCTGTAATTATGAACCAGTTGTCAAGCATCCAAATGTTGATTACATGGTTATGATGATGCTGCAACCTTAACATAAGTATGCAAAATGGTCAAAAGTAACTTTGAATTGTCACTAAATGAATAGTTGTAAGTTGTAACAGGGCATTTCTACTTTATTTACTTGAGAGACGTTATCCTCAACTGAACTATTAAAACGTTGTACATCGCCTGAGATAAATACGCAGCTCTCCTTCAGAGCGGGTTGTTCCTCAGGGCCAGTAAAGCTGTTTGGGTAATAGTTTGGAGCACCACCTACGGAAAAAAATTACAATGCATTAGAAACAGGACAGAAGCAGCAAAGAGTATCAGCTCTGCAAGCACACCACTATGTCTTACAACCAAAAATTTGTTTTTGCAAGCTAATGGCATTTCTACAATCCCTTTTCAGAGACTTGAATTCCTTCGGGCTAAGTCTATTCTTAGTTGCTTCCAATTCCCAAAACAAACAAACAAAAAAACTATTTAGGGCTTTGATTCTCTGTTCCTGTAATTATCTTGACAACGTAAGAAAAAAACCCTGAAGGTGAAATTAACCCACATATATTTGCAACGTTAATTGATTCACAGCTATATTGCAATGACTGTATTGTAAAAATTGTAGTATTGTGGGTCTATTAATTTGCTTCAGTAGTAATAAAAATAATGCATTCATTTATTATGCTAACTTTTGGCTTGTTTTTGGAATCATTTGTGGGGTAAACATCAATGGACACATATTGTGCTAATCAGAGGTGGGGAGGCTGTAGGCCCTGAAACCATTTCTAAAGTTCTTTGCCTTTGATATACAACCTCGTTTCAGTTATATAACACTTGAGATGAAAAGCACATAATAATTGCAGTGAAAGCCTATAGTTTGTAAACTTCAGTACCCACAGACTCTGCTCACCCAGAATGTGCATGTGTCTATATGTGTGAGTCCGTTCACATGTGGATGGATGGATGAGAGGGAGGGAGGGAGGGAGGGAGGGAGGGGGAGAGAGAGAGAGAGAGAGAATTTTTTTCACCATCATTGCATTACACATATCCACACTTACCTATTTTGGGTCACTGCCCTACCAACCCTGGACTGTAACCTGCCAAAAGCTTTTTCATCATGTAATTTTTGAATTATTGCCTGAGATCACATTCTTGTATTTCAACTCTAGGATAAGCTTGACATCTCAGAACTTTCTTTTAAAAAGTTACTGCTTTGATAGTCAGCCCTCAATTTACAACTGGTTGTTTAACATCTGTTAAATTTTAACATCTGTTAAAATTACAACGGCTTTGGAACTGGTGTTTTACAGCCTACAAAGACTTTCAACCACTGTAAAATGTTGTGCCACCTGCACCATCCTGTTATCTCGATCTGGGTGCTTGGCAACCTGTTCACCCTAACAAATAGTGGCCAAGCTAATAAATAGTTGCCAATCATGTGATCACCATTTGCAATACTCTGCTGGTTTCCCCAGAAGGTCAATGGGGAAACCAGCAGGGAAGTTTGCAAGCTGCTGCCATCTGCAGGACTCCCTTTGGCAGAGTGCAGAAATCAGATTCTGAAGTTTATATAATATGCTTAACCAAACTATCTATATTCTAGTATACTTCAGAAGTCCCCAACCTTCTTGAAACAATAGACACATTTGAAATTTTGAGAGCATAACTCAGAAATTTGGCAAAATGGTTGTCTTAAGGATGATCACAAAACATGTTTCAAGAGCCTATATAGAGTGTAAAAGCAGTGTTGGGAAAAAACCCAACACTGTTTTCTTTGCAGCATACTAGCTTTCCATGAACTGTTATTTGTGTGTACACAAAATATATGTTATGACCCTGGTGGTCAAGGCAAAGCAGGCCTCTTGAGAGTCCTTTATTTCTCTCAAATGTTCCAGCAAATGGCCCTCCAATGACTACTAAGTCTCCACCCCCACGCTACCCCGAAGGCAGCCACTCTCAATCCCACAAACAACAGCCCCTATAGTATAAATAAAGCCCAGAGAGTAGGAGCATGCTCACAGGGCAAGGTCCAGGGTTCCAAATCCAGTCCATAAGGTAGAGTCCAGGCACAAGACAATGGCAGTCCTCAGAGCAAAGAAAAAATCCAAGGCAAGAAGCAGTTCCAAAGGCACAGTGAAGCAAAGGCCAAAAGCAGTCCACAAGAGAAGGGCTAGATCCAAAACAAAAGGCAAAGAGCAATCTTCCAAGCAAGACAAGGCAAACCACAACATGCACGGGTTGATGCACCAAAGCAAACTCCCCATGGCTTCTCCTTCAGTTACTCCACTCCAAGTGTTCCTTGTGAGGTGGGGTGGGGCAATTTCCTCCCAAGTAACCTTGCACTTTTAAATTAAATTTAAAAAACCTTGCAGTCCATCTCTGGACTTGCCTGCACTCCGCTCTCCTTGCCCTTGGATCAAGTGGAGGAGGCAAATGTTCCTCATCAGATGAGATCTGCTGCCTATCAGCATGACTGCCTGTCAGCAGCCGATCTTCCCATGTCTGTGCAAGCAGGCAGGCAGCTCTCTCTCTGGTCGACCATTTCCCCCAATGTTTGAGGGGCTGGGACAACATTGTTCTCAGCCCCTGGCCCCCCCAAACATGCCAAGGGAGATGTGCCATCCCTATCAAACAATCCCAGTTCCAACTACTATTACTCTGAACCAGGCTCCGAAGGGGCCATGACAATATGTGCTTTGTGTATATACACAAAGAGCTCTGGTGGCACAGTGATTAGTATGCAGTATTGCAAGCAAACTCTGCCGATAGCCTGGAGTTTGATCCTGATCGGCTCAAGGTTGACTCAGCCTTCCATCCTTCCAAAGCCAGTAAAATGAGAACCCAGATTGTTGGGGATAATATGCTGACTCTATAAACTGTTCAGAGAGTGCTGAAAGGACAATGGTATTCAAGTCTAAGTGTTATAGCTATGTATATATGTGTAGAGCAGAGAGTTAGTCTGCTGGACATATTGAATGAGGCATAATACCACATCCGAATCTAAACCTCTTTACAAGCCCATATCATAAAAATGAGGGAGAAATTGATAAGATAACATAAAATAGAAAAGAAGAAAATAGCTATCAGTTTATATGGTTTAAATAGTTAAGCCGAGTTGTCAATGAAGAAAAGGCACTTGCAAAAGTTACTCTAAATTACTGGCATAACCTAGCTCCCAAATGTTATTTTCAGATTTACCCTGGTTATCAGAAATGCACATAAATCCATCTCTCTGGTAATTGGCCACCCTAGTTCGGTATGGACAATTTACAGGAATTTGAAGGTAGTTGGGTCCCAGACGATGTCCGTGGGTATCTCGATACGAGAAAAGACGACCCTAGAAAAATATATCATGGGGGTAAAAGTGAAGAAGCAGGCAGCTTTTCCCTAGGTTTTTCTCATCACTGCCTGTATCATCACTGCTTTTGAAAGACTATTGCTGGTCCTACTCCACAGGAGGGAAAAGTCTTGATTTCAGAGGACCCAAGAACATGGCCCAGAAACAAACCTGTAGATTCAGATCAAAGATATCTGTTAAATATAGCAGAAAGTGGCAACAAAAGTAGAACGATGACTTTGATGCTTTCTTAGTATCCCTCAGACTCTTTCTTTTCTTTCTTAAGTAATTTATAATCTAAGAAGTCCTCAAATTAATGATGTAATTAAATAACAAATTTACAATCTTTCATAACTATATCTAGAATGGGCGTCTTATAACCAAATATAACTTATAACTTCCTTGTGTCAACTTCTTCCAGAGCTTAAGACATAAATAATGAATGGTGTACTTTTTACAATTGTTTTAACATTCAGAGGTGAGAACTGAAAAGCATGGAACAAAGAAAAAAATTCTAATACCAAACAGATTGATGTTAACATGTTTTCATTATTGTAAAAGTTACCTGATTAAGAGACCGAGTTGCCTAGTCTCACAATGCAACTAATAGGAAAAAAAATCTATTCTGGTTACCTGTAACATTTTATCAGGGCTAGGTTCAATTCCTGGAGGCATGTTGCTTGGATCAAAGGCCAATTGTTCCACTTCAGTAAAATAATTGACAGGATTTTGGTTTAATATAATTCTTCCCACAGGAATGAGAGGATAATCTTTGTGAGGCCAAACCTAGAATATATGACCAAGATGTTTTACTATATCCAGCTTAAGTTTGCAAGATATAGAAATGTACCTTTTCTACTCTGTGCTGTACACTGGACAAAAGGTCACAAAAATATACTCACCTTTGTTACATCAAAAGGATTAAATGGAAACCATTCAGCTTGTTCAAATGTCATAACTTGAATGTAGAAAGTCCAAGAGGGGAAGTTTCCATTAGCAATTGCATTGTAAAGATCACGCAGGCCATAATCCGGATCTTCAGAAGCCAGTCTTTCTGCATCTTTGACAGAAAGGTTTTTAATTCCTTGATCAGTCTAAAAATATTGAAATGCTATGTTAATTAACAATTTGTTACCAAAAATTACTAAATGTAATTATAAATCTATGTACAAATATATATTGTGAAATTATGTATACAACACTATGGATGGAAAGAGAAAAATTAGCTACCAACAATTACTAAATATATAAATAGTTTTTCTTAATATATACCGTTACCCCGGGGGTGAAATGCTCCCGGTTTGGCCCGGATCGTCCAATCTGGTAGTGATGGCGGCGGGTGGTTTGGAGAACTGGTAGCAAAAATCCCTTCCCCCCCCCCCATGCCCAGCTGAGCCACGCGAGTATCAGAGGCTGTTTTTTTTTTTACTTTTAAAAGCATTTTTTTCTGCAACCTCTTTGGCCGAAAAAAAGCTTTTAAAAGTAAAAAAAAAAAGCCTCTGATGATCGCGCAGCTCAGCTGGGATCATCTGAGGCTTCTAAAAGCATTTTTTTCTGCAACCTCTTCAGCCGAAGAGGTTGTAGGGAAAAAAAATGCCTTTAAAAACCTCTGGTGATCCCAGCTCAGTTGCCTGATCATCAGAGGCTTCTAAAAGCATTTTTTTCTGCAACCTCTTCGGCCCAAGATTGTAGAAAAAAAATGCCTTTAAAAGCCTCTGGCGATCCCAGCTGAGTTGCCTGATCATCAGAGGCTTCTAAAAGCATTTTTTCTGCAACCTCTTAAGGTTGTAGAAAAAATGCCTTTAAAAGTAAAAAAAAAAGTTGGCCACGCCCACCCAGTCACATTATCCCCCACCAAGCCACGCCCACAGAACCGGTAGTAACAAATTTTACATTTCACCACTGCGTTACCCACTAGGTCATCACAAACGAGGTGATGGCCTAGTGGTGAAGATTCTCACCCACCACTCAGAATGTTGAGAGTTCAGTGACAATCCTGGGTAATGGCAGATGTCTCTCTCTTAGCATATAAAAAAAATAAATCTGCTGCCAACTTCAAATAGGAATCAGGAAGGGCATCCAATCAGTAAATGCTTAGCTCCATCCAGTCACCCAGACTCTATTCCGAATTAAGGAACTACAAGATTATTTTTTTAAAATGCACGCCTCAACCCAGTAACAGCAATCTGCATTAAAAATGTAAATGTGCTGTAAGAGAAAGTTTATAAAGTTGCTATACAAGAAACAAACCTAGGCCCAAGGATATATTGTGAAATTATATGCAGGGAAAACAGTATTATGGATGGAAGGAGTAAAATTTTCCAACTGTCAGGGTTCCGACCGATGCCCTAATTAAATCATGAGCTTTGAAGGAAAATAAAAGATTTTTGCTAAAAGTAATATTGTTATTATTTAAAAATAGGAATGGATATGAATGCAAGTGGCTTTGCCTAGCAATTTAGTGCTAGTAGTGTATAGTAGTCAATACAGATAGAAAGAAATAAGATACATTATCAGAAGGAGCAGTCAGGGCAGACGTTTGACGGCTCAACATAGAAGAGAAAATAGTAACAGTAGGCCATAATTACCTTTGCATGAAATTTGCAGTATACTGCATTGCCGTAAGCATTGACTAGCTTAAAAGTATGTGACCCATAGCCATTCATGTGACGGTGCCCATCTGGAATGCCACGATCGCTGAACATGAATGATACCTACATGAGCCAAAACAACATACATAGACATCTTTAATGAGAACATCGAGGACAGATTCCATTGAACAACTGTCTCCTTCCGCACAAAGGTATTTTCCAATTGTATTTCATGCATATTCTCATCCAGCCCTACTCAATATCTATAATGTTGTATTGCAGTTTCAGGACATTCATTCGAGAAACAAGAATAATTATGCTCCGTGTAGAGAATGCTTCCTTTCATACACTCATATTTCAGAGAAAAAATGGTGTCTGGGCCAGTTAGCAACATATTAAGGGAAGAAACAATCGTATATACTTTACTTTACTTTACTTTTATTTGATTTATATACCGCCCTACTCCCGAAGGACTCAGGGCGGTGAACAGCCAACAATAAAATACATACATACAAAATTTAAAAAGCAGAGATAAAATCGAATTAAATAGTTTGGCCCAGACAGATTTAAAACCCCAATCAATTTAAAACAAATTTAAACTTTGAATATTAAAAATACTAAAAAATATTTAAAAATATTAAAAATGTTTAAAAAGAGGGAGAAAGTTAGGCTGTTATACTGTTAAGTAAAAGTTACACACAGGATGCAGTGTGGTATAATGATTAAGTCACCAGGAGAATGTGAGTTCTTGCCGTACCTTATGCACAAAGCCAGCTAGGTAACCTTGGGCCAGTCACTATTTCTCAGCCCTAGGAAAGAGGCAACAGCAAACAAGGGCTGTTGTTGTGAGGAAAATAGGAAGAAGGACTATTTGGTATGGTTGTCACCTTGAGGTATTTATAAAAATAATAAAGGTGAGATTTAAAAACAAATATAAATATAAAACATGGTTCTTACTCCTGAGGAGTGTTCAGTTGCAAGCTTTTTATAGAAATCAATTGAAGATATACCACTTCACTTCACTGAAAATATTTATGGAATAACTACTCAGAACAAGTCCAACAGTGTTTTTAATAACACTGTTTCTCAGTCTTTTTTTTTTCTTAAAACAAACCATCATTTTAATTTCTGTAATTACTGATTTTAAAAATTATTGGTTTTATCATGATAATTTTATTTGATGTATTTGTACTGTCTTTGTATTTATATTGTTCTTTTGGTAAATTGGTGTAGGAGAAAGAACTACACAATAAGTAATATATCTACAATTGAAGAACAATTTCTAAGGAACATCTCTGGACTGTGTGCAACAAATGATTAAACTTAATTTAGGAATTAATCAAATAAAAAGAGTAGGAAAAGAATTGAGGCCTTTGAATTATGGTGCTGGAGAAAACTCCTGTGAATCCCTTGGACTGCAAGGCAATCAAACCGATCAGTCCTAGAGGAGATCAACCCTGATTGCTCTTTAGGCGGCCAGATCCTGAAGATGAAACTCAAATACTTTGGCCATCTAATGAGAAGGAAGAACTCACTGGAGAAGAGCCTAATGCTGGGAAAGATTGAGAGCAAAAGAAGAAAGGAACGACAGAGAATGAGGTGGCTGGATGGAATCACTGAAGCAGTTGGTGTGAGCTTAAATGGACTCTGGAGGATGGTAGAGGACAGGAAGGCCTGCAGGAATGTTGTCCATAGGGCCGCAATGGGTCAGACACGACTTTGCGACTAACAACAACAACAACAATCAAATAAAAATATCTCCAATATCTTGCCAATAAATCTAATGCTGTCTCAGAACATCCAAAATTATTTTCCAGCCTGGAAATAAAAGAATTGGAGTTGCCTGTGTGAAACTCAGTATTTCAAATATTAGCTTATGTTACTGAGCATTTACTACTGCAGTACTGCATTCTAACACTGTGTGGTAACACAGTGGTTAGAATACAGGTGAGAATACAGTACTGCAGGCTAACTCTGCCCATAGCCAGGAGTTCTATCCTGACCGTAGTATGTAGTAAAATGAGGATCCAGGTTGTTGGAGCAATATGCTGACATTTGTAAAATGCTCAGAGAATGCTGTAAAGCACTTTGGAGCAGTATAAGTCTAAGTGCTATTGCTATTTTATTACAAATTCCCATAATTAAACACTCTAACTACAATAATATAAAGGTAACACAGATTCTGCAAATCTTTCCATGGGGAAAGATGGATAGTTTCTTATAAGTCTAAAGCAAGGTTTGAAAGCAGTCTGGAGTTTTTCTTAAAAAAATTAGTCTTAAACTGGGTAAGCATTATTATTATTATTTAATCTTTTTAGATGCTCATTATATATTATGAAATTTTTATTGATTTTGCAAATATAAGGTAACAACAGATAAATAACATTGTTCTGCACCATAATTTATGGCTTTTATACACACTGTATGCATATTTCTATATTCATATTTCTATTGGCAAAAACAAACATATGAATTCAAGAAATTCTAGACACTACCCTATTTTTCTCTCCTTCCCTTTATGTTTACAAGAGTGGAACTAGAACAAGAAATGGCTGAGTGCAGCTTTTGGGCTTTTATCTTAAAAAATGAAGATACCATAGAAACTAAACCCCATTCTCTTCTCTCTTTAGAACTTTTTCTATGATGAAAAATATAATTTAATATAGAAGCATAATAAGAATCAAGTCTTTAATTTGTATCTCCTGGTCTCTGTCATTTCCTCTGAGCTCAAGATGAAGAATAGAGGGTTTAAATGAAACAGATTAAAAGGGACAATATTATACCAACCAAAGATAATTTGATAAGAAAAGTTTTGGAATGTGCAGAAATGAACAAACTTACAAAGGAGATACAAGAAAAAGAGGAAACAGAATATTATATAGTGTGGGAGAGATGGTATGAATGGTTAGAGGAGAGAGATAAAAGGCAAGGAAAGATCAAATAAGGAAGATATAGGAGTAGAAATGTAATAACAAATAAGAGGAAACAGAAAAATTGCAGATTGTAGAAGTGAAATTGTGTACACTGTTATTTATATGTATATATGTAAATAAATTAATATTAGAATTATATGTATAAAGGATACATTGAAATAAGGGAGAAAAAATGGATAAGTAAGAAATGTTTTACCGATGCGAAATTGTTGGAAAGAAAAAAATTGTTAATTTTAAAATTTAAAAAATTAATTCTAGTTTAATTTTAACTTGTTAGTCTTAATTGTACTTTTAACTGTTAAATTATGAGATTTGGATTAAATTTTTTAACTTTTTATTAGATGTTTCTTAACTGTTGTGAGCCGCCCTAAGTCCGGCTGGAGATAGGGCAGCATATAAATCTCATTAATAATAATAATAATAATAATAATAATAATAATAATAATAATAATAATAATAATAATTAATAATAATAATAATAATAATTAATAATAATAATAGTAAAGATTCTTTTTTGTTTTTTTAAAAAAATGTTTAATAAAAAATATTTTTAAAAAAAGAAACAGACTAAAAGGGGATAAAATCTTACCTGGTGCAAAGATTCAGGGCAAAGACTCCAGAAGTCCCATGCCATGTTTGGGTCTTTCAGATGTGTCTGTGGATTCCTCTTTTGAGTATGGATAAAAGATGGAAACTAACAGAGTACAAAAACAAAGAATTAAAACGTTATACACTTAAAGTTAAATCTACAGGTAGTCCTTGCTTAACAACCATTTGCATAGTGACCATTCGAAATTATAAATTCACTGAACAAAGGGCTTACGACTCGTGCCCAAAGTTATGATTGTTGCGGTGCCCCCATGATCTTGATAGTAATATGGGTACCTGTTTGTACTTATGATTGGTTGCCCTACACCATGTGATCGCCATTTGCAGTGTTCCCTGTCAGCTTCCCCAGAATGACAATCGGAGAGAAGGTTGCAAGCCACTGCTGCTACCTGTCAAGAGAACTTCCTTTATTTTCTTGGGGCTTCCTGAAAAATTTATATCTTGAAATGTAAGGATTTCGGCATGGAGCGTTTGCAACATGGAATGTTTATAACCAGCCATCAGAGACAAGAGGATGTCCTCTCGTTTCTGAGGGCTTGTTGAAAAAGATCCAACCCAAAATTGAAGCAGGATTTTCAGCCCAGATGATTTATAGCCACAGAACAGAGAGGTAGCACAGTAGGCAAGAAGGACTGTGGGGGAGGCCTTGGGAGGACCGGTGCAGACTGCATAACAATGTCTCTCTGCTCAGGGACTGAAAATCCTGCTAGTATTGTTCAACTCCTGAATGGAGAAGCAACGGAATAAGGTGCAGTAAAGAATGTGGACTGCCTTACAGGGTGGGGGAGGCCTGGAACAGATTGCGAATATCTATTCATTCAGGGGCTGAAAATGCTGCTTGTATCTAAGGGGAGCCACACTTGTATGCAGTCTACACTAGCCCCCGCCCACCCCAGAGTCTGTAAAAAACATTCCACTCTCCTTACCTGGAACTCCTGAGAGATGGCTTAATGTCTGCAATTGGGATGCTGAGATTGCAGCACTCCCAATGGGCAGGTCACATATTGCTTAACAATCACTTTGTTTCACAACCAAGATTCCCATCCCAATTGTGGGCATTAAGTGAGGATTACCTATATTATGGATTTCCTTCCAATTATTAAATTATCAGAAATGAAAATAAAATGAACCAAACCACTGCATTTTTAGGTACAATAATTAAGATTGTAATATTGCTTCTGCTTGTTAACTTCTACTGTCAGATACTCATTTTAATAGAACTCTTGTGAAAATATTAGTTAAAATGAAGCTTGGTCCTAGCAAAATAAATACTATTGTATCATACCACCCCATTAAATGTTTTGAAGAATCACATCTATAATTTGAGAATACTACTGATCCAGCAACAAGTAGTTTAACAATAGACAATTTTCTATTTTGGCTGACATTAAACACTGTCTAGAAGCTTTAAAATCCATGTAATAACATTTTGAATGTAGAACAATCGTCAAGAGGAATCTAAATGGGAAATAATCCAAGTTAGGAATATTTATTTAGAGTTAATTTCAGAGCCATTAAATTAATGGTTTGAATGTGCTCACATATGTGGCATCACTGCAATTGGAACATTTGAGATAGAATATTTATTTTTATTATTATACACTTTCAAATGGCATAGAAGACCCATCAAGATAACAACAGAGAACCTATGAAACATAAAAGACACTTATTATTATTAGTCATATTTCTATACCGCCCACTCTCCGAGGACTCTGGGCGGCTTACACCAAAGACAGTATATTAAATAGCATATTGCCCCCAACAATCTGGGTCCTCATTTTACCCACCTCGGAAGGATGGAAGGCTGAGTCAACCTTGAGCCGGTGAGATTTGATCCGCTGATCTGCTGAACTAGCAGTCAGCTGAAGTAGCTGCAGTACTGCACTCTAACCACTGCGCCACCTCGGCTCTTGTTAGAAGATGTTGCTTTAGATACACACAATCTTCTTTTTATTTACTTTTTAGACTCCCACAAATCATAAATATTAATAATGTTTCAATTTACCAGCATTGCATCTCTAATGAAGAAAATGGGAGTGTTGTTCCCTACAAGATCCCAATTTCCATCTTCAGTGTAGAACTTCATTGCAAAGCCTCGAGGGTCACGAACTGTATCAGCTGAGCCTGATTCTCCAGCTAAAAAAAAAATCCTATGATTAAATCCTATGCTCATAGTCTAATACCCTGAACGACATTGTCAATTCAATGATTTACTGAGGAATCTATAATACAGAAGGTTTACATTTAAGAGATAAAGAGCAGAAACAGAATTGCACAGAAGTAATATAAAGTTCAGAGGAATAGCAGAAAGCTAGGAAGAAGTGACTTAAATAAATGGAAATATTATTTACAAATTATCTTTTAAACACAAATAATTTACAGAATACGTTCACCAACTACATGCAGAAAAATCACTGATGAAATACTTTTTAATTTTACACCTTTGGTTTCATTCTTTTAAATTTAAATTTAAATAAGATGCCCATTCAGCAGATTCTGGACAGCTTACAAAATATAATGCTAAATTAAAACAATTAAAAACATAAAACAAAACAAGGGGCTATACAAATTTAAAAAACAACCATTTCAAACAAACTGTTTCAAATAATGTTATAAATTATATGTAATTAGTCTTTCAGATACATGCAGACATAAATATCCTTTAGAGAAAGAATATACTGTACCTGTATTTTGGGTATTCATAAAACTTGCTCAACAATACATGTGTTGTTCCTTTCCTGCGGTAGCCTATTTAATAACATTCTATACTCAAGGTGTTATTTATTAAATGACATTGCCCAGTTTCAATTAAAAACAGCATATAAACATCCACTGAAATAGATTAAAATGCCACACAGACACACACAGACACACACACAATGAAACTCCTTTATATATGAAGCAAATACACTAAATATGATGCACTGAAAGTCTGCAAAATGGTTACCTTACCAACAGTTGAAAATCGAATAACCATTGGAGTTCTTTTGCCTATGTGCTCAAATACTTTTGCCTTGCAATATGTGGTGATATCATGTGTCACTTCAAAAAAGCCAAATGCTCCTGAAAAATAAAAAGGAGTTACCCTGTTAAAAATTAAAAAGATTATTCCAAGGTAGATAGATTTGGAAAGAATCTCACTTATGGTAGAAGAAGCATTATTTCAGGAACTTACATGTACACATTCTTATGATTTTTTTAAAAATGTTGATCGTTACTATAAATGTAGCATCTCCTTTTAATGAAGAATCTCTGATTCAACAAAGGATTCTGCTAACAAAAAGGAATAAATCAACTTTCACTATTTTTTTCTTGTTTCCCCCACACACACACTAATGTAAAGCAAATGAAATTTTAGCCATTGCATACAAATGGTTTTTACAGACTGAGCAATGGTAATTTCTAAATATTTCTACCTATAGCCTATCATTCTTGATTAGATATGTACTTAGAAAGAGTGTATTACATGCCAAAAAAAACCCCCCAGAACCTAAATTAAATATTAAAAAATGCAAAGTGAAACTATGCTTATCTCAATATGAACCTCAGAATCATAAATACATTTCTGGAGCAATAAATGAAAGAATTTTTCCTCTGGACAATACAATATTTCTTGATTTTCTTGAAAAATTCTGAGAAAATATTATGAGTCAACTGAAAGTTGACAAGTAAACTACGGCAGGTTAATAACAGCTTATTACATATGCTCTTATATATGTTATATGATAGTACATATGATACAATTAAGCAAGGACTCAGCAGAATAAATCATGATTTATGAATAATGTGCTATTACAAACAAAGTGAAAAAAAGTTAGAACAAGATCTCTTTTTCCAACATTAAAGAGGCTTAATCTGATTCTAATATTTTCTGGTTATTTCTATTCACAAATCTATGAGCCATACAAGATTAATTAACCACAATTTTAATGTTTCAATCTTTTAAACAAAAGAAGCTAAATGTTATTAAATTGTATCAATTAGCAAAATAAAACCAGCAAACATAAATTAAAACAAGATAAAAACGTAACTTTAAACTCTCACAAATGGATAGATTATAGATAATTCAAACTCAGAAGAAAATCAGTAGCAAAAATAAATATTGCAATGACTAATTATCATTAGTTGCCTCTCAGACTACTATACAGGTAGTTCATTACTTATGACCACAATTGAGCCCAAAATTTCTGTTACTATCGTGTTTCCAAGAAAATAAGACTCTGTCTTATATTTTTTTGAACCCTGAAATAAGCGCTTGGCCTTATTGCTATGCGCTCAAAAGCCAGATTGGATTTATTATCAGGGGATGTCTTATTTTGGGGGAAACAGGGTAAGTGAAACATTTGTTAAATGAGTTGGCTCCATTTTATGACCTTTCTTGCCAGAGTTGTTAAGTGAATCACGATAGTTTTTAAATTAGACAAACAGTTGTGAAGTGAATCTGGCTTCCCCATTGACTTTGCTTGTTAGAAACTCACAAAAGGGGATCACATGATCCCAGGACACTGCAACTGTCATAAATATGAGTCAACTGCCAAGTGTCTGAATTTTGATCATATGACCATAGGGATGCTACAATGGTCATAAGCAGTGGTGAAATCTAAAATTTGTTACTACCGGTTCTGTGGGCATGGCTTGGTGTGTGGGCGTGGCCAATTTTTTTTTTTTACTTTTAAAACCATTTTTTCTGCAACCTCTTCGGCGAAGAGGTTGTAAAAAAATGCTTTCAAAAGGCTCTGACGATCCCAGCTGAGATGCCTGATCGGCAGAGGCTTTTTTTCTTTTAAATGCCTCTGACGATCAGGCAACTCAGCTTGGATCATCAGAGGCATTTAAAAGAAAAAAGGGTTTTTTTTCTTTTAAAAGCCTTTGATGATCCCAGCTGAGCCGCACGATCATCAGAGGCTTTTTTTTTTTTTACTTTTTAAAGCATTTTTTCGGCCAAAGAGGTTGTAGAAAAAAGGCTTTTAAAAGTAAAAAAAAAGCCTCTGATGATTTTGCGGCTCAGCTGGGCATGGGGGGAGGGGCAGGGACTTTTGCTACTGGTGCTCCAAACCACCCACCTCCATCGCTATCGGATCGGGCGATCCGGTCCGAACCAGGAGCATTTCACCCCTGGTCATAAGTGTGAAAACTGGTTATAAGTCACTTTTTTCAGTGCTGTTGTAACTTTAAACAGTCAGTACATGAACTGTTGTAAGTTAAGGACTACCTGTGTAAACATCAGAGAATAAAAAAAAGATTCTTGAATAGATTGATTAAAAGCATAAGAGGCAGAGACACAATGCAAATTCAAAAACTAACCGGCTCCTTTGGCATGGACAACTCTCTCAGGAATCCTTTCCCGGTCAAAGTGTGCCATCTCATCACTGAAAACCACATCCTGAACCAGGAGTGGGCCTCTTGGACCAACGGTCAGGACATTCAGCTTGTCTCCTATTGGGATTCCTGCTCCTGTAGTTAAGGAATCGGCTTCCTAGGTTCAAAACAAAAACAGTTATAACAATAAAAGTATCCACAATTTTTTAATTGTAACTTGAAAGCAACCCGAGATTAATTTGACAGAAAAAACTGAGGAAATTTTGTTCTGAAATTGTTTTCTGTAATTTCAGAAAAATTGGAGATATTATTATTTCATAATATGAATTAAGAGATTAGCTATGCAGCCAATAAAATATAATTTTAATTTTAAAGATGGCTAGTGGTAAAACACAGAAGTGTCCAGCGCAGGAAAGCATGAGCCAGGATAGAGTTTGAAAGCACTGAGAGTTTATTCCATGCAATCTATACACAACAATCTGATCTACTAATGGTCAAGGCAAATTGGTGCCAGATAAGAGTCAACAGACTTCGGGGCTGGAGTGGGGAGATGGACATAGGTCTCTTTTGGGGGCATATGGACTCCAGACTGATATGTTTGACCCCACCCTTATCAATTGATAAATGAAGCTGAATTTCTAACATATTCTGTATTAAGAGACATCTATCATCTACCAGATGTTACTCAAAGGCAAAATTCATAGTTACAACAATTGTTAAAAACACTTTTAGAATCAGCCGCAATTTCAGCTTGAGACACCTAAAGTATTAGAACAGCTTGTTAAATCCTAGACAATTCCTGGAACCTGGCATTCTAACAAACCTGCCATTAACAGGCACATAGATTAAACAACATCTATATACCAAGATGAGCAGAGATTAATGGTCTTGGACCGAGGGCGGCCACTATTCCTCAGACGGCTGGATGTGAGTCCCTCCTTGTGAAGTGGGGTCATAGGGTGCAGTTGGGCTTGCTGGTCACGTACCTGGCTCCCTGCCACGTGGCAGCAGCCCTGCCTGAGCTACTTGATGTTATAGCCGCGGTGGCTGTTGACACTCCCAGGCTTATGGTCATGGGGGATTTTAACCTGTCATCAGTTGGCGAGACGTCTGAGGTGGCTCGGGAGTTCATGGCTTCCATGACGGCTATGGACCTGACCCAGTTAATTTATGGCTATACTCACATGGGGGGACACACACTGGACCTTGTTTTTGTCTCTGGACAGTGGTTGAGTGATCTCGAGATAGGGGATATAGTGATTGAACCCTTGTCATGGTCAGATCACTCCCTCCTTCGCCTGGACCTTCGAACTGCCACACCCCGCCGCAGGGAGGCGGAACCGACCAGGTGGTTCCGCCCCAGGCGCCTGATGGATCCTGAGAGATTCCAGATGGAGCTTGGGCCATTTCCTGAGGTTCTGGCACAGGACTCGGCTGAGGATTTAGTGGCCGCCTGGGATAGGGCAGCGGCTGAGGCTTTAGACCGAGTCGTGCCTTTGCGGCCTCTGACCCGGCGCCGGTCTCACTTGGCTCCTTGGTATACTGAGGAGCTGAGGGAGATGAAGCGCCGGAAAAGACGCCTAGAGAGCAGTTGGAGGGCTAGTCGTTCTGAATCCGACCGAACACTGGTAAGATCTCATATTAAGAATTACCTAGTGGCGATAAGAGTAGAGAAGAGTAACTACTTTTCTACTCTTATTGCGTCATCAGATAATTGCCCAGCCGCCCTGTTTAGGGTGACCCGCTCTCTGCTCCATCAAGAGACGCGGGAAGACCCCTTGGAGGATAGAGCTGAGGATTTTGTACAATATCTGTATGACAAAATTGCTCAGATTCGGGAACAGCTGGACTCTGACTGGATTGATCCAGAGGAGATGACAAGGGCAGGTCCTGAGAATATTATTTGGGAAGAGTTTGATCCTGTGACTCCCGAAAGCGTGGACAGGATACTGAAGAGACTAAATGCGACCACATGTTTATTGGACCCGTGTCCCTCCTGGTTGGTACTGGCCTCCCGGGAGGTGACGCAAGGCTGGCTCCAGATTATAAATGCTTCTTTGAGTGAGGGTGTCTTTCCCACCGTCTTGAAAGAGCGGTGGTGAGGCCCCTCCTCAAGAAGCCCTCCCTGGACCCAGCTGTGTTAGCAAATTATCGTCCTGTCTCCAACCTTCGCTTTGTTGCGAAGGTTGTTGAGAGTGTGGTTGCACGACAACTGCCTCAGTACCTGGATGAATCGAATTATCTAGATCCATTCCAGTTGGGCTTCAGGCCCGGGTACAGCACAGAGACAGCATTGGTCGCATTGGTTGATGATCTCTGGAGGGCTCGGGACAGGGGTTGCTCCTCTGTCCTGGTCCTACTAGACCTCTCAGCGGCTTTTGATACCATCAATCATGATATCATGCTGCACCGGTTGGAAGGGTTGGGGGTGGGGGGCACTGTTCTACAGTAGTTCTCCTCCTTTCTCTCTGACCGGTCGCAGTCTGTGTTGACAGGGGGGCAGAGGTCGACCCCGAGGCCCCTTATATGTGGGGTGCCACAAGGATCGGTCCTCTCGCCCCTTCTATTCAACATTTATGTGACGCCACTGGGTGAGATCATCCGTGGTTTTGGGGTGAAGTACCATCAGTACGCTGATGACACCCAGCTGTACATCTCCACCCCAGACCACCCCAATGATGCCCTCGAGGTGATGTCCCGGTGCCTGGAGGCCGTACGGATCTGGATGGGGAGGAACAACTCAGACTCAACCCATCCAAGACCGAGTGGCTGTGGTTTCCGTCGTCCCGATATAGTCAGTTGGCGCCATCTCTGACTATTGGGGGCGAGTCGTTGGCCCCCACAGATAGGGTTCGCAACTTGGGCATCCTCCTGGACTCGCTGCTGTCTTTAGAAGAGCATATGACGGCCGTGGCCAGGAGGACTTTTTATCAGGCTCGCCTGATTCGCCAATTGCGTCCCTTTCTGGATCGGGACTCGTTACGCATGGTCACTCACGCCCTTGTCACCTCACGCCTGGATTACTGTAATGCTCTCTACATGGGGCTCCCCTTGAGAAGCACCCGGAGGCTCCAGCTGGTCCAGAATGCGGCCGCGCGGGTGGTGATGGGAGCAATGTGGCGCTCTCATGTAACCCCCCCTCCTGCGCGAGCTGCACTGGCTCCCGGTGGTCTTCCGGGTGCGCTTCAAGGTTTTGGTTACTATCTTTAGAGCGCTCCATGGCTCAGGACCAGGGTACTTATGAGACCGCCTCCTGCCACCAATAGCCTCTCACCGACCAGTTCGCTCCCATAGAGAGGGACTCCTCAGGGTGCCGTCGGCCAAACAATGTCGACTGATGGCCCCCAGGGGGAGAGCCTTTTCTGTGGGGGCACCTACCATCTGGAACGGGCTTCCCCCGGAGTTACGAAACATCCAAGACTTACGCATTTTCCGCCGTGCCCTGAAAACGTTTCTATTCCAACAAGCTGGTCTGGCCTCACTCTCCCTTTTTAAATTGGCTTTTAAATCGGGTTTTAGACCTCTTTTAGATAAATCTGGATGTTTTAATCTTTGAGCCAAATTACTTAATCTGTTTTTTAATAGTTTTTAACTTCTATATGTATTTGTATTTATTATGGCTGTTCACCGCCCTGAGTCCTTCGGGAGTAGGGCGGTATACAAATATGAATAAATAAATAAATAAATAAATAAATAAATAAATAAATAAATAAATAAAACCAAGTTTAACATAGACCAGTGATAGACCACCAAGTGCCGAAAAGGTAGTACATGTGAGAGTGGCACCAAGTGTAGAAAAGGGAGCACTTCAGAAGGGAGAATTTCCATTGGTCCTCCTTCTTTCTGGACACTCCCAATTCTGAAGTTCGAAGAAGCCCCATTCCCAGCTCACAGACCAGTTTTTCCAGTTTCCAGCACTGCTGCTTGCACAAAGGCCAACTGATCGTCGTGTGCGCATATGGACCAGAATTTAGGAAGAGGAACGGACGATGCCATGCATGCGAGGCAACATGGCTCTGTGTGCCACTTCGGGCACATGTGCCATAGATTCACCATCATGGACATAGACTAACAATCAAGAAACAAACAATACCCCAATAAAGGAACTATCAAACAAGCTAACAGTAAACAGTAAACAGTCCAATTTAACCACAACAGTAAACAGTAAACAGCCCAATTTAACCACCAAGACCACTCCCAACAATACTGGCAGGGCAAGTAAAATGAGAGCAAATCCCATTCTGCACCAACATTGATGATGCCACCTAGTTTTGGTAATGCAAGAAAACAACCAAGTTTAGAAAGTAACAAGGACTCCTAATTTTAACCCTGAGCTACCAATTTTCTCCTCTAATGTAAATGGAATTTCTTGTTACGTTCAAAAGACTGGTGTTGCAGCATTGAAAAAATAAATGTATGGTTCTTTACAGGGATGGGTTCTACTTACTTCACTACTGGTTTGTAACGGGGCTGCACGTGTGCACTTCTGCGCATGCGCAGATGCTTCCTGATGACGTTGGGGTCGGTGGGTGGAGCCTCCCGCCAGTTTTACTACCAATTCTATAGAACTGGTCTGAACCGGGGGCAACCCACCACTGGTTCTTTTACACGTAATAAATTGAAGACCTGATTGCACTTGCCACTTATGAGCCTATTTCATATATATGTAGACTCTGTATGGACAAACAAATGAGTCCTATAATGAGATATGGAACTCATTTATTTAAAATATGTTAAAAATGATAATTATATAAATGTATTATAAAAATATATCTACTTGACTAATGTTGGATTGCCAACATGATCGCCCACGTCCGATGACGGACATGGCAGAAGAAGAAGAAGAAGACTTGACTAATTGCATTAGCAGCAACATACTTTATTGCGGTCATAGACCAAAAAAAACAAAACATCCAAGACACATAGCTGGCACACGACCAGACTAAAGTGCAAAATAGCGACAAGATCAGTGGTGAAAACCACTCCGTCAAACTCACAGTTCATGTATTTTAAATTTTTTTGCTCCAATCTATATGGACTATAGTCGATTAAAATTGTACATAGGTAGGAAATACTATATTGCAATTTACATAAAATCCACACATCGGCACTTTATACAACCACCAGCTAATTCAACCGCGACGATCAATAAAGCTG